CTTGAAAACCGTCTTCTCTTATAAAAGAATTAATAAATTAAAATCGTCAGTAAAAAGATTTTGTTAAAATTAATAAAGTTTCTTTCTTCCTCATTTAAAAATACCCACTTATTTGGCTAAATAAACGTACCTACGTCAAGATCGAGTTTTAACAGCAACCTTTTACTTGTGTTAAAATCGTAAACACGCATCCATATGTATTCATATACAAACAAATTATACACATAATATGTATATACAAACTATGTAAATTAAATACTAAGTCGTAAAAAATAATGGACCTTTATCTACTTAAAGTGTCCTTATCTTGATGCAACCAGTAGCTTTGCGGTAGCACATTTTAATGCACTTCATATATCTCTTTTATCCTACTTCCTTGCTATGCAGTGACTCACGAGAATAATAATAAACATGTTGTATGCATTTCACTTATTTTAACAGTGTTTCTTTTTTTTTTTGACAGAGATCACTCAATTATATATATTACTAGAAGACCCGGCGAACTTCGTATCGCTCTATAATCAAGAAATATCTGTTACGTTTTTTTAATTTATATTTTTGGAGTTTTAGAATGATTGACATATTAGTTAGTTGTCAAATCTAATGTCAAAAAAAAAAACGTTTTATCAACAACTACTAATAAATTAAAAATTAATTAAAAAAACAATATCCAGCGGACAAATTTGTGAATCTAAACAATTCCCAGATCCCCTTGAACACTTACAAAAAAATTCATCAAAATCGGTCCAGTCGTTTGAGAGAAATTCAGTGACATACACACTCACAGAAGAATTATATATATATAAAGATTTTTGGAATACAACTTTTCTCAATTCAATTAAAGTTCGATTTCTTTCTACACACAACAATCAATTACTTCTCACTATATGCTTACATATTTCAATACTGCTTTAATTTCCCTCCAAACGTATAAATCAAATCAAAAACAAAAAAAACTATTACAGTTTTATGACAAGCTCTACAGTTATTTTGCGGTGAATTATATATTACCTTTTTGAGAATAATAATATAAATGGCTTACTTTACCTTGATGTAGTGGGCCTTTATAATTGACTTATTTTAACCTTAACTTTCATAGAAAAAAAGGTGCTTTAGATATAATAAAGTCTTAGCTACAATGCTATTTTAAAAATATTATATGCTTTTGCTTTTGCTCTCACCGAGATTATCAGATACATTTAATAAAAATGAAAAATATGTATGATGACGCGATAATACGATCGTGATTCATACTTGTTACTTATACAACAACGATACTCTTACTAGTTTATATCGTCATACTAAATACATAATTTTCCCAGTTTTTCATTAATACATCCTCGATAACATTATGAAATCATAATATATTTAAATTAACACTACAGAAAATAGATTATATTAACTAATCATAGCAAATATATATATATATATATATATTTATGGATTATATCAATATTACAGTGACACGTTAGCTTATTAAGCCATCGAGGGCTTTCTGAATTGTCCTAATATCTATATATTACTAGTTTTTGCCCGCGACTTCGTCCGCGTTATATAGCTGACCGGGCGAACTCTATTCCGTTTTAGAGGCCATTAATAATCAGGTTTCTCCTGTTTCAATCGAACAGAATGATTGACATATTAGTTAGTTGTCAAATCTAATGTCAAAGAAAACGTTTGTATGGGAAATAGAAAAGGGCTGTTTTTAGGGTTTTCCCGGAAATGAATCAATTTTTTTCAGCTTTCAAACCTTTTATACCTTCCCTGAATCTCCACGAACATTTCAAGACTAAGATAAGATAAATCCGTTCAGCTGTTCTCGAGTTTTAGCGAGACTAAGGAACAGCAATCCATTTTTATATATATAGAAGATAAAGCATGTAAACGAACTAATATCAGGAACTACTGCATCAAATTGGAAAATTCTTTTTGTATAAGATATTCTATTTATCGAGGAAAGCTAAGTATAGGCTTTATTTCCAGATCTATGAGAAAATTGTTACTTTGTAACCTAACGTGTACAATCGAAAACCTATATACGCCTGCACCGCAAAAACTATGGACAAAACAGCAAAATAATGTATCGGGTTTGTAGGCCCCATCTAGAAGCACAAAAATGTCCGAGAGAGTATGTATCTGAGTATCATAATTTAGTCACAATACCCGCTTTTGGCCTAAAGAAATAATATTAAATCGTCTGAAGAAAAAAACTACGTTAAATGTATATCACAATATATATATATGTATACGCCTATCCAAATTAAGCACGATCTTATTAAGAGCATTTATTTAGAAATAAGATACTTTGCGTTTCCTACTAATCGAAAATTTCGTTTGGAAGTTATCACGGGTATAAAACATAAGCTATCTTTTATGAGGATCCCGAGTATCGAACTCTGATCCCCTAATCCCGATCCCGACCCCGATCCCCAAAACTACCATGAAGTGCAGTTGGGGTTCAGTTGCCACAGTGTTATTATTTTAACCTTTATCCCGATCCGAATGTCAAAAGCACACGGGTGGAACCATGAACTGCAATTTTGATTTAGTGGCCGGAGTGGCAGAGAACAACTCTGATGTTCAAGCGGATGGAGTCATGGGTAAAAGATGGTATCAAGAAAAAATATAATACATCTAAAAAAAATTACTAAATATGTTTTTTTTTCTGATTTATGAGACTTATTTTAACTAGTAATGAGCAACGTGTAATATATTGATCACAGTCCTTTAGAGACGATATTTGACTTATAATTACTATGCAAAAAAAGAAATATAAAAATGAAAAGTTAAAATTTATAAAATCAATTTTGACTTCTTTTCCACTTTATTTATTATACTTATTACTTATTTATGGGACTTTTATAATACATTAAATGTTCACTAATCACTTAATATATAATAATAATACATACGTTGATAGCTAAATTTTAATATGATAGATGTATTTTAATTTAAACTGGTTACAAAGTAATTTTCATCTTACTGAGCAAGTCTGAAAGTCGTATATCATAAAGCAAATCGTCACATTTTATTAAGTAATGAATAGTATATATCTTATCTAATAATGGTTTCTTCTGTATGCCATGTTGGGTTAAAGAAAGTATTTAAGATATTACACATGGTTGAATATATAAGATTTAAAGAAATTATTTGGACAAAGTAATAAAAATATAGTAAAATTATATTATAAAAGGACATTAAGAAATTGTGGAAAAAAATATAAGCAAAGCTGGAAATAAGTTTTTTTTTAAAGTGACGATGAATTTAATTTAATTTAATCCTTTTCTTTTTTCGCGTTGATTTGCAAGACCAAGGTCATTATTACAAAATGTTAAGCAATATCACGGACATCATATGTATATTGATTTATTCAATTAAGAAACATAAGAAAAATACATGTCGTCAGCCTATCAGAGCCCACTGCCAAGCAAAGGCCTCTTTCTCACATGAAGAAGGTTTGAGCATTAATCACCACGCTTGCTCAAGACGGGTTGGTGATTTCAAACTTATAAGTTTGAAACTATAACTCCAGGTTTCCTCACGATGTTTTCCTTCACCGTATGTCAGTGACGTCTAAATACTCTCAGAAAGTACATATGACTCCGAAAATATATATATATATATATATATATAAATTAGTAAAAACCAAAGAGAGAGTTTGTTTAAAAATAGAATACTAAAAACTTATACTAAACACTTACGATTATTTTTTTTTTTCATGATAAATGTACTGTATTGCTATCTAATAACGATATTCTAATTGCTAAGTTCTCAAAGAAAGTCGATTTTTACATGGAATGGTTTATTAAACTTTTAAAAACATTTTTAGAAATTACATTAAGGAAAATATTTTGAACAAGGTATTTTTCACAATTTTTAATAGAAAATTGTATAATGAACCTATTAGATGCTATATAAAACATTTATACGACGTCCAAAGAATTCTTAAATATTTATTGAATTTCTTATAACGTTTATTTTAATTCTGCTTTAATTTTCTTTTACTGCTTATAGTCTAAAAATTAAGGTTGATTTAGAGCTGTTCCTTAACATTTTTTTATAGGAACGCGAAATTAAGTCAAAAACATAGATAATATTATATTACGAGGTTCATAGTTTCAAAAATCCCACTAATGCATTTAACTATGTATTATTTACAATTTAAAAGGGCAAAGACCACGCCTCCAGCGACTATAGCTTTTTTAATTTGAAATACATGAAAATTATCTTTTTTATTGAAATTATTTTACATGACCATTGGTACTGAACCGTCCCACTTGCTAAGTTAAAAATGTTTCGCCTTCATTAAATGTTATTTTTTAAATACAGTTCTTTTACTTTAACAAATAAACATTTATAAATTTCTTATAAGATTTTTATTCCTCGAAGCAGTTTTATTACTATCCATTTATTTTTCATCTTTGAAAATAATATAAATTGTACAATAACATTTACTGTTTAAGTATTTTTAGAAATTTATCTAAAACAATGTTCATAAAATTGTGATCAAAAATTCGTCTATTTTATTTATTATTTTAAACACTAAGCAATCAGTTAATTGATTAAAATTATATATTAATTAATACAATTTATTTAGTATATGAGCATCTTTTGTAGCTTAATACTTAGGTAAGATTAGGTACACGATTTACAGGTATTATGTTCTCTTTTTAATAGTAATATAATGTCCAGACACAGGTTTCAGTAGTACGTCCAACTTCAGTTTCATATTTTTATGGTTGCCATATATTAGGAAGTTTCGACAAATGTAAACCATTGTGGTCTTTATGGACATGAATGCATAAGTTTTTCCTGAAACCAAAATGACAAAACAAAATTTATATTCTATTAATTATGTTTATATATAGACAAAGAGAAAAAATTGAATACAAAATTTTACTCTCATCCTTAATTTAAATTATATATATACAAAGTACATAAATAATCTATATATATATAAATTAAATTCGCAATAAATGTCTTCCTTTTTTGTACATAGCTTATATACCTATACAAAATCTTCGGCCTACTCCAAAACCAATGGAATTTGCCCATGATGGTAATGACGATGGTTCAAGCCAACGTTCTGGTTTGAATTCCTCGACGTCAGGTCCCCACTGGGGATGGTGATATATGGCATATATCGAGAGATATGCTGATGCCCCTTTTAATAATGTGTAATTGCCTGAAAAAATTATATTAATTTTTATAAATTAGGATGGTAAAAGCAGTTTGTGCACTTTATATCATACTGTATACATAGATATACGAGTTGAATTTTCAAACTCGATGCTCAGCTAAAAAGATAAAGTAATAACTAAACAACTATAAAACTATTTACGTAATTTCACGTCCTCTTCAATATTTCTTCCTGTAAAAGCCACAGTGGGGTATAAGCGTATTGATTCTTTAATCACCGCTTCCAAATATACTAATTTCGAGAGATCTTCTTTCGTAACGTCTCTGTCATCATCACCAAAAACAGTTAGTAATCTACAACAGAGAACATAAATAACATCTTGTGTATTTGATTCCAACAACTGAATAAGCGTATATGAAACATAAGCAATATATATAGGTATTGTAAAACTTACTCTTCAATAATTTTATCCTGAACGTGTGGGTAAGAACCAATCAGTAACATACAGTATGTTATGGTGCCACCTGATGTATCAGAACCACTTACGATGATCGTATCTATATGTTCTTTGATCTCATCATCAGTTAGGACCTTCGTATTGTGAGACAGTTCCAAAAGCAGTTGAATGAATGGTTTAAATTTTGTACCTATATTTGTAAAATAGGCTTAAAATATATTCCATAAACAATAAAAAAAATAGCAGTTATTACTCACTACTAAATTTATCTTCTGTTGATGCCATTTCCTTCATGTAACTTTCTTTTTTCTTTTGTAGAATCTTAAAAATGAAACATTAGATTATAAAAGTGAAAGAGAATAAAAGTTCGTATTGTAAAAATTGTAAAAAGTAAAGCTCTTGATACTCATATACATCATACTATGACATAATTTAAATAGTTTTTTGACCATCCCTCATCCTTCATACATGTCAGATATCTTATGAAAAATATGTTGTCCTAATATGTATTATTTGACCATGGTGTTATTTGGTTATTTCAATCTCCTTAGAAAAATACATTTGGCATGTTGCGTAGACAAAATTTTGACATAGCATGTATTAATTTCGATAATTAGGAAGGTATACTTAAATAAATTACTTTAAGTTAGATTTATATATTTAAAAAAGGAAGTACAACGCCACTTTTGCCTATCTATCTGTTCGCAATAAACTCAAGACCTGCTGCATCAATATTAAAGTGGTTTTTACCATACCATTACCATTATCAAGAATGATTTTAGTTTATAACTAGTAAACCTGGCGAACTCCGTTTCGCCACCAGAAGACTTTTATATAACATTTCGTTTGGTGATTAAAAGATGAAGAATTTTATGTTTTATATTTGAAAAGGAAAATTTTTATTTCATTTCACAACAGTAATGAATTCATTTCGATTACAAAAATAAAATGTTATTTAGTTGAACTTCTCTAAGTAAATGAAAGTGAATCCAAAGTAGATACCGAATCGAAGCGTTATACGTGTCCGCAAATTATCCGTTTCATTGAAGCGGTCCTTTGTAAGCCACATTTTTTGTTTTTTGGCCTAACTTTAACACAAATAAAGCGTATGGTTTCCAAACTCGTGAACACGCAAAATATAACTGCCCATGTGAAAAACAATGATTTTCTAAATTTATCCCGCAAATACTAAATTACATATCTGTCATTATACGTCAATTGCATAGCTGTCAATTGTGTTTCGTTATTCCACGTTTTATAGTGACTGACGTTTCATGTCAAGTCCCACGGGAATGCTGTTGAACGGGATAAAAAGTATCCTATTGCGATTTCCTGGTTCTAAAATACCTCCCTGCCAATTTTCAGCTAAATCGGTTCAGCCGTTCTTGAGTTATAAGTGCAGTCACTAACACGACTTTCTTTTATATATATAGATTGGATAATTTTTACGATTTATTTGTTGATTAACAAAATTTGCTTAAAATGTCGGGGAAAAAATTGCCTTCTGAAAAATTGTAACAAAACCTTGCCTAAATCCTTTGTGATATAAAAAAACATGAAGAGAGACATACGTCTATCTCTTAAGAGTAGCACTCTATATTCATTTAACTTCTTTTAAAATTTGGTATTCAAAAAGCGTTTATTGCAAAGAGATTTACATAATTACGGTAAGTCTTATGAAAATAATTTACATCGTGTTCAGGCTTACATCAGCATGTTTTAATTTGTTTTTTGTATTATTTAAATCAGACGTTCGTAAGTAATTAGATACTTAACTGCTAAGTTTCTTGATCATTATTTGTTTATCTTTTTTTTATAAATTAATAAAGCTTAGACATGAAAGTTGCGGCAATAGTCCTGAGCACACAGTGCTTTTCGCGGGGAGAATTTTATGTTACCCTTCCATGAGTTTAATTAATTATTTAATATAAAATAATTATTATTAACATAAAATACAATATTTCCTCGATTAAACTTAAAATATGATTAAAGTAGAAAGATGATGAAAATTTTGTTTGTCTTGATTTAACTGAAAAAGTAGGTACTCAACCAATTTTACCTAACATAGGCTATTTTATATTTTTGTAAAGAACCTGTGTAACGTCGGGGAATGTAGCTAGTTTCATAACAATAATAAGAAATCTATTATGAATAAATATGGGCACAAAGACTGAAAAAGATATTAAGAAGCTATAGGTCAAAGTAGATCGAAAGGCAAAACCTCTTAATTAAAAAACTTAAGACGTAAAAGTAAAATTGATATACAATCAAAGCAATTAAGCTGTTTTATTTATAAGTTACACTTTTTATTTGAAATAAATGTAACCTAGAGTATCTTTGCGTTACTTTATTTAAGCTAAATCCAAATAAATATTTGTTACTTATTTATTTCTCATATATAAAATAAAAAACTTACTGCACTAGAAGCTTTGTGTAATATCTTTATACACTCCTGTTCTTGTCGTTTGACACTGGAAAAGTTATATATTACATCTTGATGTAACCAAAATTTCTGGAATCTTGATATGAGAATGTTGAACATTTTGTCTATTGTGCAGACGTATTCAGAGCTCTCAGCGCTATTTTTCATAAAGTCATCTCCTAACGCAGTAACTGTAAATGTATTGAAATATAAAATGTGGAAATATTTCATGTTGGCGCATTATAGCTACGAATATAGCTTAAAACTCACGGCATATTGTTTCCAATGCATTACGATGACAGTAAGTATAGTGATCGAATGGCTCTTTTCCTACTTGATCTTCTAAGCTTTTTACAAAGCGACGGGATTGGCTGTTAAATATACCCAAAAAACTATCAACTACATGCTGACTAAATGATGGATTTAGTAATCTACGATGGACTTTCCATATTGATGCTACAAAAAAATTAAAGTGCATTCAAGCCGTCAAAAATTATCAAACACTATAGTTTTGTTAAGGTTAATTACTCACGAGATGCTGTGACAAGTCCATTACCCAGCCATGGCTTTGCAAAATCACTTATTGTAAGTTTAAGTAAACATGAATTCAGTACAGTTGAGAAATCCTCAGGATCCGTGACAACTAAAATTTATTAAAATGTATCACTCTTTGAAACTTATGGCAGATAACAATAACAACTGTGTGATTCACAAAATCACAATCACAACACAAAATTTATGAGAATTGAGTTTCAGAAAACAAATAAAAGAAATGTACATTTTGTGTATTTTGTTTCGCTAATATATCAACCATATTCCAACATGTTACGAGAGCAAGTTTTATATACATACGGTACAAAGTTTGCGGTCCAACTATTAGTTTAAGAACTCCGTCATACTTCCGAGATTGTTCGGTTAAAATTTTAATTTGTTCCCATAAAGCTGAAAAGTAATAAAATTACTTAGTCCAAAATAAACAAAATAAGAAAACGTATTCTTATAATTTACTTACATTCACTGCCTCCTAAAAAATATAACGCATGACCTATTAGAAATCTTTTTTTATCTGCTAACGGAGGTTCGAATTTGCTTCTATTATTCCTAAACCAAATCCACAAGACGCACAATAAAAGGGTTAATACAAATAATAGCGCGATGGTTATCATCTAAAAAAAAAATTTATATTACGTTAAAAAGTATTACACAAGAAATTATAACGTACTTTTTAATCGTTAGTGAAAATAAATTATAATGTTAACATAACATTTTAATGTCAATAAAATTAGATGACGCTAAGAAATTCTATTACAGAAAAAAAACTCAAAAAAAACTAATATACCGTTGGTATGTAACTTTGCCTAAATCTTGACTATATATCATTACACTCTTTTTAAGCTATTCTTATATATTTACTGAAGTTAAAATTAAAACTGCGAAAACTATAGAGAATAAATATAAAGGACTTTGTTTAGTAGTTCCTCAGTTTCAAAAAGGCACTGCACCTTTAGTTAATTTTTTTCAATATATATACATACACTTGATTTATACGTAGTGTCACTCCTCAGTATGAATTTAAACTGTTACTTTGTCTGTATAACTCAAAACGTCATTGATGTTAACTTTGGTTAGTAAGTAAAATTCTCTTTTTAATACTTTGTATCATAATGTAATCAAGATTTTGCAAAATAAACGACGACATTGTATATACATTTATGATAAATATAAATGAATTAAATTTTATAGAAACACTGTATCGGTATATACAGCAAACATTTTCATTCAATTTATTATTATAATATGGATTCATATTTTTATAACGATGATTATTATTTTAACGAGTTTTTAGTCAAAGTTATCATTGAAAATGTTAGATATTGTTATAATAAAATAGTTAAGAAATAAAAAATAAATAAAAACCAAAATTGACGTCATTGATTTCAATATTTTGAATTTTTTTATTTCTTTTTTTAATATTAATGAAATACAGGTTTTCTAATAATAGGTCAGATAATAAAATGGATTGAAAAATACTAATAAACTATGATAAAATCATATTTTCAATATATTATAATATTTTGTATGACAGTTCAAATATTCAAGGTTTTTATCGATTCCACTTGGGTGATCTCTACTGTGCTATATCGGACGTAACAAAATAATACGTTACAGCTGTTTTAATTTTTTGTTTTCGCTACCAACATAACAATTTCAATGAACAAAGAAATCCTTTTCAAATCGAAATGTGTACAATATAAAGAAAAACCATTCCCACGTATAGTATTTGCGTCAAATGAAAATATACTTTTGAAATAAATAATACGTAAAAACTGTGCTTTAACCAACATGTTTCACAAAATTTTGGTTAAAGCTCAAACTTTAACCAAAATTTAACAAATATTTTTATTACGTATTCTTTAAACAGTATATTCATTATCTATACTAATATTATAAAGCTGAAGAGTTTGTTTGTTTGTTTGTTTGTTTGTTTGAAAGCGCTAATCTCCGAAACTACTGGTTCGAATTGAATAATTCTTTTTGTGTTGGATAGTCCAGTTATCGAGGAAGGCTGTGGGCTATATAACATCACGCTACGACCAATAGGAGCAAAGATATAGTGGTAAATGTGTAAAAAACGGGAGAAATTATTTCATCTTTGAAGCCTTCCGTTGCGTGTGCCGTGAAAACATTTCAAGATACACAAAAAATATGTATTAAAGAATAATAGATCTTTTAATGATCTAATAAACAGTCCGCGACAGTATATGTCTATCTTTTAAGATTAACTCACAAAAACCGTTTTTATGGTACCTAATTTGGTCGAAATAATTTGTTAAAGTTGTATCAACATAATAATATTAATCTTTATTCAAATAAACAAATAAATATGTTGTTGGTTAAGAGTACTTCATTGTGAATAAAAAAAACATAGGTTTTATCCTGAAAATTCTACAGGAACTCGACCATTCGATTCGAACTATGTGGGAAGAACCAAAAATCTGCCGGAAGTCAGTATTCCACGCGGACGGAGTCGCAGCACAAGCTAGTACATTATATTACGTTTACATAAATCCACTTGCTTAGAATAAAAACAGACTGTTTGTTTTAAACTTTTATTAGACCTTAATATTTGTTCTTCGTTTGATTGATATATGATGCCCCAAAACCGGTTTCGGCACAACATCCAATTTGAGTTGTATTTTTGTATAATCGCCGCAAATCGTGTAATAGAGACAAATCTTGAGCAATTATCACTGTTTAGAGGACTAAACAGTGATAATTTATTGTTAGTAGTTTCGGATATTTTTTGTAATATATTAAAATATACATACAGTGTTCGATGATGTGTTTAATATTTTTATGTAAAGACAATCGTTGTGTAACCAAAAACGTTGGAATCTACTTATGAATATGTTTAAGATTTTATCCACTGTGTGGAAGTACTCTTTGTTTATATTAGTATCCTTCATGAAATCAACACATAAGGCAGTGTCTGAAAATTATATTTTATTAAATAACCACATTTAAATAAGAAAAATAATAATACTTTTAATATTTACAAATTCTTTAAAAAATACTTCAACTCATTTTTTTTTATGTGAAAGGTGGCAAACGAGCAGACGGCCCACTTGATGGAAGGTGGTTACCGTCGTCCAACCGTCGTCGGCGTTGCCAACCTTTGGGGATAGGGAGGGGTGGGAATAAGGAAATGAAAAGAAAAGATAGGAATAGGGAAAGGGCAACCGGCTCTCTCACTCATCAGACGAAACACAGCCAGTAAAGGCTACTTCACGCCGATCTTCTGTGAGAGGGTGGTACTTCCCCGGTCGAGCTAGCCCATGTTCGACCTGTAGTAACTCACCACAGCTAGGCTCTACCACCATTAATTAGATACGATTACTAATAACATATTGCTTCTAATGAATGGCGCTGAGGGAAGACATAATGATCGAAGGGTTCTTTGTCAGCTTCCGACTCTAGATCTTTAATATAAAAACATCCATAAAACTATCCACAACATGGTGACTAAACGATGGATTTATAAACCTTCGATAATGTTTCCACATCAATGCTGTAATCCACAAAATATGAAATTTTACAATAAATTTATTACTTCTCAATTATAAACTTATTTAAGTTTTTAATGAAAAATATTAAAAACTCAATAAAAGCCGTAAAAAGTCTATCCCCCTACTAACTTCTGGCAGTCATTTGGATATATATTTTTTAATCAGTTATTCAGTATTGTAGCATGATCTTCAGGGTTAGTTGTAACTGAAAATATTTTCATAACTCACTTAAGCATTATTTTTGTTTAGATAAAAATATAGATTTAAATAAAGAAAAATACGAACAATATAAAATTTCGAGAACAATGTTTATTTTAAGAACTCCTTCTTGTTGTTGTGCTTCGTCGTTAAAAAGTTTTATTCGCTTCCAAAGATCTAGAAAGGCCATTTGTTATAACGAAAATTAGTGTGTAAAAAACTTCAAATAACACTTTAACTTACAAACGCTATCCCCTATAAAATCAATAAGGCATGGCCAAAAAAACCTTCTACCAGCTGCTGTCGATGGTTAAATACTGTTATGGCTGAGTCGTGAGAAACAAAACCACAATATACAAAATATGCAGATACTTACTACCAAGAGCATCTTGGACGACTGAAAAGAGCAACTAGGTAGAAAAATACAATATGCTTTATTGGACACAACACAAAAGCAATTTGAGTAGAAAATGTCACAGAACAAAGAAACAAGTAGTAAAGGCATCCTTATTGCTAATGAGCGATTTTTTCCAGGTTGTTGCCTGTTGCGTAAAGAACGTTTTGGAAAAACATGAAACAGAGTTAAAGTGTAGTGATATATAGTACATATTTTTGTTAGGAAAAACAAAAAAATATGTTTCTGATGGCAGAACAACATTTTCGATTTTACACAATATTTAAACTTAGTTTTTAAAACAGCCTGTAATAAATAATAATAACTCTATTGAATTAATTTATTTATTTATTTATAAATAGATACATACTCCACTTTTTTTATATTTTCGCAATCCTGAAAAATCCTACGTTATTTAACAAATTGTGAAAACATCTAAAATACCAAAGTTATTGAATAAAATTGTGAAACAAAAAAAAAACAAATAACCAGCATACTTCATGTTCCCATTCATTAATTTACTAAGCTTGAAAAAAAAAGCAAATTGAGAATATTAGTGTTTGGAATTATAGAAAACTGAAGAAAATAAAACGTTAAAATATTTTCTTTTATATCTATTTTAAATTAATTAATTATATTTACGTCAGTTCATTTAAAATAAAAGACTTCATATATCAAAACTTTATTGAAAGTTTTCTATTTTTTCACTACACTGTAAACATATTTTCTATTTTCATATGAGTAGTTACATATGAGTATTCTTGTATTATCACTTTAAAATCAATGATTATAACAATGTATCATTTTCTCAAAACGAAATTTATAAATAGTCATAAAGACCTATTCTTATAATATTATATTTTATGTTATAAATTATGTCATGTTTACTTATGGCATAAGTTTTTTATAACCTTGTTATATGTCGTATCGATTATTATGTGTTCAAATTTGGACTGAACTTGAATTCATCAAATCTTCACAATAACGAAGCTCGATTTATCTCGTAATAAAAATTAATCGACTCCTGTTTATAATTAAAATTTATATTTTATGCTTTATTTTTTGTACAGCGCGATATTTTCCAATAATTTTACCTAAGTTAATAGAATGAAACTTCTTTCAGTATAATTATCCTAATATAATGTTAATAATAGAAACAAAAAAAAATTTGAGCAACAAAATATATGATGAAATACAAAAAGAACATTGCGAAAATTTTGTAAATTATAAAATTAAGGAAATCAGCAATCAAGAATTTTATGGCACCCGCTACAATTTCACAAAATTTCTTTATATTAATATTATGGCATTTTAAACATTTAATAAATATGTATGCCCAATTTTTAAAGTATATAATATGTGTAAGTATATATTGAGAGCCCACAATTTATAGGATATTGTATATTAACCACTTTTGTGGTGATAGTAAGATTTTTTAAACCATCAACGAAATAAGCTAGAACAATCTATGATTTATTAGTATGTTATAATAGTCCTTAAGAAATCCGATAAACTGTAACAGATAAAATAATTATTTTGTATAAAGAGTTCAATGATCTTATCACATTTAGGATGAAATGCATATTTCAATGTTTATTTAAATTATACATTAAAAAGTAGGTCACTATTATTTAACGAGACTGTAACATTAACCTTATGGTAAGTGGATCAAAGTCAAATGAAATGAAAATAAAAACGATTATTAATTAGATAGATACATGATTTATTACCTTAAAACATATAGACGATAGTTTATAACATATTATACCGGTCTTGTCGCGTATTAAATGAAAAACTCGAGGATAAGCTATATTTTTACACTGAATCTCATTTAACTCCATCAGCTGTTCAAGATAGCAATCAAGAAGTCTTATAAACATATATGAGATTACGTACACTCGTAATATTTTGCAGTTGTAATACTACTAATAATAGTTATAATTATTGTTTTATATATCGATGATTTTTAATAGGAGAGGGGTAGAAGAACGAGGTGAAGATGATGATCATAATGATGATTAAGTAGAGCTAGAAAGTGTATTGCTATTACCAATACATTATGAAAACAAAAATTAAATATAAAACTATGAACTGAAAACACAATATTACTTTTTAAAATACTGTAATGTAAATAATGCAGACTATTCACCCAATTTATTTGTTGCTAACACCCTTCAACCAACCAATGAATCGTGAATAGGTACGCAATGTCCTCTCGGATGGATAATTACTCTATGAAATAGTTAAAATAAAAAAATTATCTCAAAATTTAATACATATTCATACTATATTTGTCAATTTATTATGTATTAGTAAAATAGGAATAAAAATGTCTCCAAATTAAGTAATTCAAATGTTGTGACATTGAAATAATAACACTTTAATCGCCACTTAGCATATTGCATATTTTTTCACGGACTTACATGATTTTGAAAGTTATGTATATACGATGAAATGAGTCAATGGATTTTATAATTTATGATAAGACTCACTGACCCTGAGAATCAATATATGTAGCACAAAATTTACATCCATATGTGGGTGCATATAAAGAGGGATAAAGTAAAAAAACAAAAAGAACATTATAAAATTAATTATAAAATTGTATTTGATAAAACATATTATATATCGGCGCTATCAGCTTTAATGACAAAATTCAACATAACAATAACTCGAGGCTGTCATCAATTATTATAAAAACTTATTAATATTCATATAATTGTTAAAAGTAAAACGAAATCTAAGTCAGAATTTAAATCAAAAGGAGAATAGAACTATGTTTGAATTTTGGTTCAAATACGATCTCTGGAGGCACGACAGGACAGGTTCAGTGACAGCGGACTGTTAAAGAATATAAAACCTTCAAGAAATATAAGGACATTCAGAAGAATTGAAGCTTAATTTTAAAATAACATGGAACCTGCTGAAAGAAGTAACATTAGTGATGTCATTGAGACTGACGCGTCTCTTTGTAAAAACTATGAATGTGTAATAAATCCGATATATATTATAAAATACTTACGCCATTTATATAGTATATTATTTTAACTATTATAATTAGTCTTTTTAAGAATTTGAGAAATCTTTGAATATAAAATATTGACAAGATTCCTAACCATGTAGAAGTAAAGAAAAATCCTAGAGAAATCTCAGTATACTCTGATAAAATAGTTAGGAATTCTAGTAATGTAAAGCAATCATTTTCTAACACAAACTTTGAATTAAATAAATACGTATTTTACCACAAATAAAGAATTTATTTCTATTATGTATTGTTCTTTTTAATATAATTTGATGTTACTTTGTTTTTTGTGTATTGTGGTTAAAATGTTATAGAGGGCATAATATATTAAGAACATTTTTAACATATTCTTTTGGATTTTTATGTCTAAATCAAAACCATTTCGGAATGTTTCTAATTGTCATTTCTTATATAACTATTTTTGTATACAATGATAACAAAATAAATAATTGAGACGAAACTTCTCAGCATTCCATGGATACACAGAATCTAGTACCAAAATCGCTATATTTTTAAAAACCATAATTTGAGCTATAATTGAATACTTATTATTTCAAACTTTCGAGGCGAAAAGTAACATATGAGGCAGAATTTCATCACCTTGGGAGATCAAAAAATAAGATAGCATAATTGCACTGTTTTTAGCAACTCAGTGTCTGCAATCTGTGAGTTTAATCTATACTAAAAAAAAGTTAATATGTAAATGTCACACGACACTTTTGGTTTATCTACCGAATTTTGTTGCTTTATTTTAATTAATTGTTATTGACAAACAGTTTTGAGACAAGTAATAATAATTATAATAAAACATTCCAGATTCTGTGTATAATTGCAAAAATTACTTCTGTGAGACTTATTCAATGATTTTTTTTTCAACGACAGAAATACGGTTGCTATATGTTGACTAGATATTGATTGGATTTTATTAAATAAATACGCAAATAAAACAAAATTCATCAATTACAACTTTATTATTACTCATTAAATTTCTTTTCCTTTAACTCCAAGTTCACTATTTTGTTAACCTCAAGTCATAAAAACGTTACACACATGGCATTTTATTACGATATATTTAGTACAAAATTGATTAAATCACTAGTCACCAATCTGAGTTACAGTTGATCTGAAATAAAGATGATTATTAATACACTACAAGTAACATTTTATCGCAATTAAATTCAAAGTTAGAAGAAAATATTGCACGTTATTTTTGATTTCATTATAGACGTCATACATTTATATATACTGCAAGCCAAGAGCTGTAGCGTGTGCCAGTACCGCTTCTGCTGCTTGCTTGGTCTCCAGGTGTGCGAGTGCCGCATCACGCCAGGTCATTGCAGCACCGAGAGAAGCACCTTGCAGCAGGCTCACGTAACGTATAGCTGCTGCCAGATTGCCTTGTCCCAGCCAGAATCTGACATATAAGCTATCTAATTATCAAGAATAATCGGAAGCAATTAAAGTTGAACTGGTTTTATTTTTTAACTCAAAACACTGGATATTATTATTCATTGCGTGGCCATAATATACCTCGACGGTATTAAGGTGTGCTAGTTTAAATCAGTTATATTTAGCAAACATCATTGTTGACAAAATATTAAAAGCGGTTGTCCTAAACATAGTTTTTCGAGTAAATTAATCAGGATATTTTTTGTTTGTCCAAAGCGAATTGTAGCTGTAACTGTACCTAGCTCTCTGTAATAAATCGAATGTATCCAGGTCTTCTGAAGGTTCCTTTTGAGGGTTGTCATACTCATCTTGTGGTATCCCTGATATCTGTAACAAAAGTGTTTCAATTATTCAAGTAAGTGATTACACACTTAAGCAATAGATTCTTAAACTTTACTCCTTCTTTGATTGTTATTAAAATGATATAATTATGTACATATATAGATTTGGCAGTAAATTTTAAAAACCTTCATAAAAAGAAACACCGACATCAGCCATGATAAGAAATAAACTGGCAAAGGACCCCCTTCTCTTTCCACCAATGCAACTTTCAAAGCCACTTTTTCCATCTGAAAACAAAGACAGACATGCGTACACATAACAATAAAAGTTGACCTAGTTTTTAGGTATGGTATAGTCCAGTTTCGATTTAGATTGTTACAAACGAGGAAATGAAACTAATATTTTTCGCATGTACCTCCTACGCGACTTTATTTTTGATAAAAAAACGAGATACTCCCGACATTTTGTCAACTTTTTAGCAACCGTGATCACGGACAGACAAGATGTGTGATGTAGTTTTTATCAAAAATAAAAGTTCGTAGTACGTATATCTGAAATATAATAGTTTCATTTAAATGAATAAGACTTGCGAAAATCTTAGTTCTCATATGTTACAAACGTGTTTATATCTATTATATTGCTAACTAATGATTGTACCTCACTGTATCTAGCGCGAAGCACACTCTCTGGGACAACGCCATTTTCACGCACAGAATTAGGTATAGCTTTCAAAACTGTTGTAACGAGCTTATCTCCATCACCTACAAACAAAATATACTGTACCTACTATATTTCTAATACAATATTTTAAAATTGCTCTCTTTGTTATCAATTACTATAACCAAACAGTACTAATTGAGTCTTTGACGTTCCATCTACTTTCATAACAATATTCATTCAAAATCAAAACAGTGATGGGTTAAAACTATCTATTTTCACTTCAATGCCATCTATAGTTGAATTATTAGTAAAGAGTCAATTAATATCTCAGGTTTTTTACTAGTATAACACAGTGTACTCAATCGGGAATTACTTATTGTTTTGATCTCTAAATGCATTTGACACAAGAAATATATATATAAAACCTGATGCTTTTTCTATGGCGTCTAATTCCTTATTCACTTTCACGACATTTTCTCCACGCTTTGTGGCTGCTAGAAGAGCTGAACCAGCGGCCCATAGAGCTTGAGATCGACGAGTTTCACTCTCAGCTTTGAGGCGAGCTGTTAGAAGAATTGGCTTAAAAAGATTTTAAGTACATATATAAAAAACTCTTTTACTATCTAGATAGTACTTAGATTTAGTTAAGACCAATATCAATTATAAACCAATAACAATTAAGTTTTTTAATTATATGTATATTATTACCATTTAGTTTGTCTTCCACAAGTTTAAGTTTCACAGACATCTCTTTAAGTTGTTGGGCAAACAATCTTTTTTCAAATGCTACCTTCTCAGATACCAGTTTGTCCAATTTTATCGTCGCCTTTTAACAATAAATATATAAATGAAACGTTCATGTTATCTTAATCATTATTTTAAGAATTAACAATAAATAAACATGTGGGGACCTCTCGTTCTTTTTCTAACAATCTTCTACTCTCAATTTCTTCGTGTGCATCCAATTGTTTTTTTAAGGAGTCCCTCAGTAATTTTTCGTTAGCCGCGCGCTGGTCTTCGTACTGAAATTACATATATGTAGTATTTAAATAATCACGACCATTACATTGCTGGTAAGAGTTCTTTCATTATCATCAAGACAAAGTGAAATTACTTAATAATGTCATCGTTATGAACAGACTAAAAATTATATCTTCTATCTATTTATGTCTGAAAATTATAGAGAAAATCCTTAAACGCCAACTTAAAAAAAAATTAAGTACAAATGCTATCTTCAAGTAACTTTTGAAAAATAAATATGAACATATATGTTTTTCATCGAAGAGTTTTTTGTAATTCCTTCTGTGCTTTTCAAATATTATATTATTTTTATACGCCTCATACAATTTACCAAGTTGTACACAACGTAAGAGCTCCAAAACATGATTTTTCGAATATAACATTACAAAATTTATGACAAATTATCACATTCTTCTTCAAAGAGAAAGAGAAATCTTTCTCTATAAAAAGACAACGAATTTTAAGTCTCCGCACAATTTAAATTATTTTATCATATAGACGGTTTATTCATAACACTTTAGATAGAAGATAGATTTATCATAAGACTGACTTGCTTCATAAAAAATAAGCTATTATTGCGTCGTTTATAATTAGTAAAACATCTCTATTAAAATACGAAGTTTCATATAAAAATTACCCTTTTATTATACTCTTGATTTAATTCGGCTCTTTTCTGTTTAAGAACAGCCTCCATCATTGCTTCTCGCTCTTTCTGTTCTTTCTCAACTTGAGGTAACGCTAAAAAAACATGAAGCTCATTTAAAAAATATGTTTTTAAAAGTATATAAATATTATTTTCAAAATTTACACAAATGAACTAACTATCAAAAGCTCTATTAACTCGATCGGTCATTCCAAACACGACCTCTTGTAATTCTTTCTTCAATTGATGAGACTATAAAAATAAGAAATGTTTCTTTGGCATAATCATAAAACTAAAATATTTTATAAAAAAAAAACTAAACGCAGTGTCTTACGTATCTTGAAGTATGATACAACAATAAATCCATGTCACTGGTAAATGCTAATTTATCTTCAGCATACTTTACTTCGGAGAACATTATTTCGTTTTCTTCTGAATATTTGTCTATTATACTTTCCACCTTGAATAATAATTGTGTGTTTTGCAATTAAAAACTTAGAATATTTGGATAAAAAAAGGTATAACAAAAAGTAAAGAAAAGAACCCATTTTCTCTCAGATATACCTTTACATGGTCATAACTTAACTAACCCTTTTCCATTGGTTATCTAACGCTGTAGATTTGTCATTTTCCCAATCATATTTTATCCTCGAAGCCAAGAATTTTTGTTGATAATCTTCTACTTCTGTAATAGCGGCTGCAATTTCTTCCTGGGTTCCTTTCGCACCACACTCTAGATAGTGGGCTAAAGAGTCTGCCCAAAATTATTTATAGATATAGATTGCGAGTTTTATGGCAAAAATTAATACAAAAAAAAGTCATTTTATAAAGTTTATCTATCCAAAATATTTTGTTTTAAAAATGTCTTTACGTTTCTAGATTGAAAGGTAAAAACAAACTTTTAAATGAAGTCACAGTGAAGTATTTCCAGATAAGAAGCAATGAGTTATTTTTACTATTTTACAATAGTTTTCTCTTACGTATATTCTCATATAGAACGGAATCCCAATTTTCACCCTTACTCTTTTAAATGGAAAAAAACTCCGGGTTTGATTCTCCCTAAAATCAAATATTTCAACCCAAAAATTCTTACCGATGTCAGCAAGAGCCTCATCAGCGTTTTGTAAGGAAGTCTGGACGAGTTCTTGTCGTTCTTTCATGTGACCATTTAATTCTTTAAGTAATGGGATGGAGAAGTTTGCCATTGTCTCGTTAACAATCTTTAAAATAGTTAAAATTAATATTTGGCTAAAATTTTGTTGAATAAATTTTAATTTTCCTCTACTGTATTAGAATAACAATTATGAAAACGTATACTTTTTAAATATACTTATAAATGTTTGTTTACAATGCATACCTAACAGATTTGACCTCAGAATATAGATTAAAACTCGTGAAAGTCTTAGATCTCATTAGATTTGACCTCAAACACTTAATTACAATTACAAAAAAATAAAAAATAAATTAAATTTAAAAACAGTTTTGACGTCAGATGACAATTCATACCTCGTTGTAAAGAAAGCAAGCCCTTTCTGCTGTATAATAATTGCTTAAAACATCATTTGCAAGCACCCGAAGGTGGTCAACAACTTCGCACGCAGTTTTACTGATTACGACAGGCGGTGGTGCTTCACAGGGCGGACTCTCAGGATCTGCAGATTCTACATATAAAAGATGAAAAGCTAGAATATTACTACTACAACCTATCATACGGTATCAATAATCCTTACCTCCTTTTACTCCTTCGACCTCTTCCTTTGTCGGTACGGCTTGGAAAATTAAATATTTTAATAGAGATAAAGATATATACGGATATTGATATTTATGGGTAATAGGAATTCGCCTTACTTGTAATAGGAGTATCTGAAACTTCCATTGAGCAAGGCTTAACCTTAGTGTCTTTATCGTCCTTGATTAACTGATTAAGAGAACGTTTAATACTATCCAGATACTTTTGGCCCATCTCGCCAAAAGTCATATTTTCTTGAAAAGCAATTGCAATGAGATCATCGAACCAGGGAGCGTATATGGACAACCAGTCTCTAATTTCTGGATTTTGCCTAAAAATAGACTATGTTTGCAAGTTTTCAACAGAATTTATTTGTAAACTCTTATAAAAATAAGGAATACTGACTTAGCAATAAAACCAAAACCAGCTGCCAAAAAAACAACAGTCATTGCCCCCCAAAAAGCAGTGTCATCTTTGGGTTTAGGAGGCGGAGGTGGGGGTTTAGGGGGACAAGGATCACGTACTTGCACCTTGTAATTGTTTACAGGACATCGGGAGAGTTTTGCTCCTTGAAGATTTGTAGGACGTTGCTGAAATACATGAGAGAAAATTTTCTTTCAGTGGATGCAATTTGTCTATAAAACAATAAAAAAGGCTTTCGAAAAAATATTTTAAACTCAAGCCAACTCAACATATGTCTAAAACCTCTTAAATACCTACAAAATAAATAATTACATATTTACCAACAAATTTGTTACAAATCGTAGGTGATTTATTGTTCTGAACATGTTCTATTCAAAATTGATGGGATTTTTCTATTATTTCTGTCATCGTTAATAAAATTACATCTGCCATTGTTTTGTCTTTTTAATGTTTTGTGTAAACTTCTATGGAGGTCGAAGTTCTTAAGTAGTTTTCATTAAAAATAAATTACACGTATCCTGCTGTCTATATATTTTTTTAATTAACTAAGCATACTTTTTTTCGTTAGTTAAAGAGCCTGTGAGCAAAAAATTATCTATCTTTTATTTCTCTGAAATTCTGTGATGTTCGAAAGGATTAAGTTTTGATATCAATGATTAATAATAATAATAATTACCACATTATATATTCCTAATAAATACAATACATAAAAATATAGGTAACTTTAAATCACACCTACTTACTATCGAAGTACAGTTTTTTCTATGGCATGACATTTAAAAAAGGCCTCTTCAAAAAAAAAGCTATATGTTTACATTCCTCAGACAAAATACGGACATCATACGGTATGTGAAAGGTGAGAGGAGTTTGCGACTGACTTATCTTTAAATAATGTAATAAATAAAATTTCATATGATATATTAAAAATTTGCCATCTAAAGGTAATAAATACAATTTGAGAAGTATTAAAACAATATGACACTGTTCAATGATGTGGAAAACCCTCTAGCTTTTATTCTAAAAAAAAAAAATACAATGATGTGTTTCAGTAAAGTATTAGCAATTATAACAATGGATATTTTTTATTTGTACTAGAAAAGAAATTAAATGATTTTTTAAAAATATGAACATAAACACTAATCGGTCTTCCACAACATCATTCAGGCCCAAGAAACTATACTAGTGAAATTATTCCAATGTAGGCATTCAAATTGTCTAGTCAAATGTATGAAAAATGAGAGACAATTTCTTATTATTATTTTCGTCCTAAGGACAAATTTGAAATCTCTTTAAAATTTGTAGATTTTTTTTAAGAACTAACCCAGAAAAACTATGTATTTATATAACAACCCACCTAATGTATTTATATTTGTATAAGTGGCAATTTCACAACATTTCGGGGCTAATATATCCCGATATTCATCTTAGAGTCCGCAACTTCAACTAAGTTTTTACACCAGACATATAAAATAATTTATTTTCAGTCCAAGTATATACGGACGTGCAGACGCTTTTCGTGAGATGGCTCAATCCTTTTCGTCGTAAAATTGTTCACTGTCATTAGCTTTCAGAACTACTGCCTAGAAACTTTAATACAACAATCTTCCAACAAAGCCACAATAAGCTGCGTGATGCGTTTCTTTTCAATAACATTTTTACTAAGAACTCATAAAAAACTAAGTTAATTAATATTAAATATTAATTCAGCAGATAAACATAAGTAACGAAATTACTACGCCAGTGATGACGGCGGTTCATAACGTCCTGTTTTCATATGACGCACTTCTATTTTCCAGCTCCAAATATTTATCTCCCATTATACATAGCCATGATTTACAAGATAAAGATGACTTATAGAAACCAAAATTATTCAACGTTCTTTTTTTGGATTTTCTTAAATAGAAGTTATTTCTTTCTGAGCATCTTTAAGCTCTAACACATTTGTCAGTACATCGTAAAGACCATTACTAATATAAATCAAATGTATCTTAAAAATTTAAAGGAAAAAATAAAACAAAAAATTGAAATAAAAATCATTATCTAATTTTAAACTACATACATTTCCTATTTACACAAAGCTAAGCAAACCACAGTGTATTTTCATCCAATTCAAAGATAAAAATGTGTTCTGATTTCTAAAGGCATTTTTGTGGCAAAATAAATAGGGTTACTCTTAAATCAATTTGAACCTGCGGTAGATACACTAAGGTGCAATTTCCAACGAAATGTTTATTACGTATTTCCTTTGTCTAACAAATACAATAATCGTCACATTTAAAATTATATACCTTTGTTCCAAAAGAGGTTTTCGAAAAAAATATATATTAAAGAGATATTAAATAAAATTTTATTCCAAGTATCGAATCGATTAAATTAAAGATAGGAGTGTCTATGAGGGATGGTGACTGTAAAAGTATTCAACTAAAAAGTTACATTATTGAAACGCCAAATATGGAGCTAAATTATGTCACGGACCAGTGTGTTACGTCATAGATGTTGATAAATACTTCAACAAGTAAATGTAAGGAAAATATGGCTTTCGTTTTCGTACTTTGTAATTGCTAGTCCGATTTTAATTCAGCATTCACAATGACGTCACCCGACGGACAAGATGACGTCACAGAGACCGATTTGGGCCAATGACAAAAACAGTACAGATTAGATATATGTATATTAACGATCTCGTTCATTTTTAATCTATATTCTATATAGTAAGACTACGCCGGCGTGTTAGATGTTAGTTTCTACTGCGTCAGACACGTATGGATTTAGTGACGTCACGCCGGCTCGCGTCGAGTTTGAGAGACGTCGTAGGTCATTAGAACGTTGGTGACTTCATGCCCTATGACGTCATTATAGGTACAGCAGGCCCGAAACGCTGGCGTGCGCCATGACAACGTCCACGGCCTGTCTGACCTCGAGGTGGGCCCGGGCCTCGTCGACCCAGGAGCGGGCCGCGGCCCGCGGTGCCCCGGAGAGGAGGTTCACGTAGCGGAGGGCGTGGGGTAGCTGGCCGTGGTCCATGTAGTACCTGGGAGGGAAATTGGAATGAAGACCTTAACAGATATTAATTTAAATGAACGTAATATTTTCGGAGTATTCATATAAATGGAATTAATATTTTTGGATGATTTAAAACTACATACTCCGGAATTTACTCATTCTTATCTTATTTTTAATTCTTAAGATCTATTAATACACCTAGAGTAATCATTTAAATGAACGTAATATTTTCGGATGTACTATGCGTTCTTTGCTATTTAAAAGTATATACTCCGTATAAAAAACTCCGTATATTTATTTTTTAAATAAAAAACCCTTTACATGGTAGTATTATATGAGAACTTTAAAGAATCACGGTTGCAATTGCGCACCTAACCGCAACTCTTCGCTGCCAGGTATGAAGAGTTGTGGACTATATAAGTGTGATAACAAAACTAAATGTATTAAATTTCTCACCTGGCTCGTTGTATTATATCAAATGTATCCAATTTTGAGAAATCCGTTGGTTTATTGTCCAACTCGTCCTGTGGTATTTCGGCGAACTGAAATTGAAAGTTATCTATTTATAGAATTTAGATTACAATTCGCTGTTTTGACATTTGAAATGTAATATGATTTATATGTACAAATACGGTAATGGACCTTTAATTTCAGTTTTTTATTCCGTTACATAAACTATGATTTTGCTAAAGTTTAATTAAAAATTCAGCAGTTATTGTCTGAAAAACTTTACCCATCCATATATCCTTACAACTTTATTCAAGCTTCAGAACCAAAACAAATATATTTGTTCCATATGGATGAAGTTATTTATTAGATGAAATAAATACCTTCTGGTACAATAACTTGGATTGCAGCCACGACAGGAAATAAACCACGAGGCTCGCAACCTCACGTCCCACTAAAGCTACTTTTACAGCTGTCCTCTCCAACTGAAATACATAAATAGATTATTACATTAATTATTTCAATCTGGCAATATTATTTCAATTTGGCATTTATACTAAGTTATACATATAAAACTAAAGATTTTGTACTGTACTGTAATATAATTTCCTTCATGTGCTTTGAATTAAATTTTCTATTACTATTATTTATATGCAACCAAAAATAACTATTTTTTTTCTAAAGAATATTGTTGTAAACGATAAAATAAATTTATTTGAAGATTAGAAGAATGCCATAATGCTAATAAGCCTTTATTAGCCAAAAAACGGAATTAAAAAATCAAGTATTTTCAAAAGAAATTCTAATACAATAAATACCCTGTCGAATTTGTCTCTCAATGCTCTCTCAGTAGCGATGCCCTTCTCACGGACCTCGTTAGGGATTCCTTTCAAGACGGTTTGCACTAACTTATCGTCTTTACCTGAAATCAAAAATACATAATAATGAGAATAAACTAACGGTGATATTGATAATTTCGTCTGTATTTAAATGGAACATTAATTAATAAATTCGATATTATAGTTTGTTTAACAGATTATTATTCGGAACATTACTTTACTACCTTAGATATCATCATCATCAGCATATCGGACCCCACTGCTGAGCAAAGGCATCAGTCTCACATGGAGAAGGTTTTGAGCATTAATCACCATGCTTGCTCCAGACAGGTTGGTGATTTAAAACTTATAATTTGAAATTATAAGTTCAGTTTTACTCAAAATATTTTCCTTCACCGTCTGTCGGTCTAAATACTCTATGTACATTGTACATATGACTCAGAAAAATCACATTGGTACTTGCCAGGTTTCGATTCCTCTCCCTCATCACGAGAGGCGGACCTTTAACCTCTAGTCACCACGGCTTCAGATATATTTAACTGTGTGCGTGCCTTCAAAATTCAGCGATAGTACGCATGTGTGCGTGTCAAATGCGGGCATGTTTACGTACGTGAACGCATGTGTGTGTGTGTGTATGTGTGTGTGTGCGTGTATATTTCCTGACCAGCCTGTTCGAGCGCTCTCAGTTCCTTGTCGAGCGTGGCCCTAGCGTCGTTCCTCCTGGCGGCCGCGTGTAACGCCTCGGCCGCGGCCCACAGAGACTGAGAACGACGAGCCTCGGCCTCCGCGGCTGAACGCTCTGAATAATACATATTAAATTACTTATTATATTTATAACTTGAATAAATTATAATTATATTAGCTCTATATTGTATACTGTATCAAAATATATTGAAGATATATTTCTGATAATTTATAACTTAAATAGTTTCTAATTTATTATAATTATATGACCTCCATATTGTATAAACTATCTAATAGTTCCAATATATATTGCATTATTGCATAATAACTTCATTTTTCTCTCATAGGCGTTTAGAAATATGTATGAATAAAAATAATTATAACCACAAATCAGTGAGTTATATAGAATTCGTGTAACAAGAAAGTGTAATACATATTTATAATACACTAACGTTTTAACGTCTGTTCTATAGCCTGTAGTTTGCCCGCCATAGCTCCCAGCTCCTTTTTGAACTCTACGCGTTCCTTTTCAACTTGTTCCGAAACAGAGCGACTGAATTTGTTCATGACCTGCAATAATATTAACGTGTTAAATGAAATAGAGGTTAAAAAACTATAATAAAAATGGTATCTACTGTGATCCGCGTAATTCAAAGGAAAAAAACCTGAAGTATGTATATTAAATTGATATAAACAGATTAAATGTCATAAAAAAAAATCAGAAAAGTAAAATAATGCTCAGAAAGTCTTTATCAAAAGAGATAAGTTATCAGTAGTAATCAATTTGATTGTATAATCTGTATTTATATGTCTATCTCTGTCTCCCACATACCTCCTTCTCTTTCTTAGCCAGTTTATCTTGTAACACCTCCTGTTGTATCTCAAACTGTTTCTTCAACTGCTCTTTTAACTTCCTATTCGCTTCTGCTTGGATTTCTAAGCTCTGTGTACAAACAATTATTGCACATTAATTAAGAAAATATATATCTGGCTTTGCAGTATGGGTGAATGGTTTTAACTTCATTATTGAAGAATTTTTTTTTGCCTATACATTTTATTAATATAAGTGTTTCATCATGAAAAATTCAGTTAAAGATTCAATTTCAAATCAAAAATTATTGAATATAGATTATTTAATATTATATTAATATACCTTCTTCTGGAACTCCTTTTCTTTCTCCATTCTTTCGTGTTTTATCATGTCTTCTACTTTAGCTTCTATGATTGCCTTTTCATCATGACCTAAATAAGAAAAATATATAGTGTGATATATATATTGTTAGGTGTTATATATCTCGCAATATTGATAGACATTTTCTCCCTCTTTAAAAAAAGATTTTTTACTACAAGAGCAATAAAAAAAAGTTGAAAAAATATAAAAAAAAAACATATTTAAATTATTTATACTGACATTCAATAGCTCTGTTGATTTTCAATTCCCTTACGGTCTGCAACTCGACAATTTCTTTTTGTAAGTATTGAATCTAAAATAACAATAACACATGATTATAATATATCAAAATTATATGACAACTCTTTGTAGAGAATAAAATTTCATTTGAGATTAAAAAAGATAATATCGAACGTAGATAAATAAATATATGTATTTTTTATATTCGATGGAAAATTATAGAAAATGATATTTAATGGATAATATACCTGCTTCAAAGTATACATAAGCAGAAGATCGGTGTTGCCTTTAACATCAAGCTGTCTAGCTGTAAGGTCTATGCTTGGGAACAGCGTTTGAAGCTCTTCCTTATACATCATACGAGCTGCTTCCACCTGGAATAACAATAATTATAATGATAAATATATTATAAGACTTATTATTTTATATCATTCAAAAATTAAATCTAATTTAAAAAAAAGTGATTGGATTTTGTTTAGACGACATTTGGAAAGCTTATATAATCAACTAGCTTCGCCAGGCGGTGTTACCCGCGGAATTCCGAGATTTCCGGGATGTAAAGTAGCCTATGTGTTATTCCTAGACGTCAGCTTCCTGAATACAATTTTTTATCAAAATCGTTTCAGCCGTTTAAGCGTAAGAAGTAACAAACATACACACACACTCACAAACTTTCGCAATTATAATATTAGTAGGATAGTAGGATTTCTAATTACCTTGTTCCAATACTTGTCACTAAGCACAGCCTTATCTACAGCCTCCTTATATTCGTCCTCAGCTATGCTCAAATCGTTCCTGAACTGTGTGATGTATCTCTTAGTGGCCGCAATCGTTTTAGGAGGCGCTTGGACGCCGGCTTTAATCATACGGTCCAAGATCTCTGTGGATATAACACGAAATATATTACTTTTTGTTATTTGTTTTCGAATATAATTGAATATAATTAATAATTATAATTAAATTGTTTTGACTATATACATTTGACAGCGTATGTCAAACGTCAAATCATTGTATCTGTGATGATATATTTCATCTACAATTATGAAATTAGTTGATTAAATGCAAAATATTTTGAATTTTGTGTTGGTATAAAACATATCAATATATAAATTGAATAACATATAACATCCAAAGTATATAATCAACATCACATTATATATTAAAAGTGAAGCCAAACATTTATTTCTATTAGTTTACCCATGTGCACATTAAAAGAGTCTAAGTTAGTATGAAAAATCAAAACCCTAAAAGTGACAGGAGCTGGCATAAATTTTTGGTAAAAAGGTCAGTTACTAATACTATTATTTCTTATGGGATATTTTGTCCTATATGTTAGTTATAATCTTCATATATAATAAAAAAGTATAATCTTTGCAATTTGAAGTATTTCTAAATGTTTCTCTGGCATTTGCTTAAAGTTGTATTCAAAAAAAAAAACTATCTTTGCTGTGTCATAATAAAACAACTGTATAATATTAAGTACAAATACATGGCGGATACCAAAACATATTTTCGCTAAAACGACTGGACCGACTTTTAATCAATTTTCACTAGCAGATTGCAGATAGAAATGTCTCAAATGCTTATATATAATACAAAGTGTTAAAACAAATGTTATATATCTTCACTAGGATAATTAATTAAAGGAACTGCAGAAACAAAGTTGTAGGTATACAGTTAATAAAATACTACAATGAAAGTAAGTTTTTCGGAAACTGCGCTATCAAAACGTCGGGGTTATGTACATAGATATAAATTAATAAAAAACGCATAGCATCCTAAAAACTCAGCTTCATTTAAGTATTTCTCTCAAAAATGTAATATAATTTTATATAAAATACTAACCGATAGCACATTTAGCTTTAGCGGACGCCTCCTTAGCCTTCTTGACGTTATCACGTTCACTCTGAGCGCCCTTCAGTGTCGTGAAGTATTTTCTGTCAACATCAGTGATTGGTATTTCAACAATCTGTAATGTATTTGTAGGAATATAAGATAAAAATGGATAGATGGATGGGCCATAATTCAAGGCATGAAGTTCTTTTAAACTGAATAATAGTTGAAATCGGATATAATTAGTCCAAGGACCAAATTACAACACCAGAAAAAGAATTAATTCGTTTTCACAAATTAATTATCCAAAGAGTCAAGGTTAACAGGCTAAGTACAACTAGTGCACCGCACCACGTCAGAGCCAAGACTCCTGTAGAATAATCGCGCACGTCTTTTATACAGCTACAGTGGGGAGAGTGGGGCATCGAATCACGCGCTCGGTGGCGTGATCGGTGCACGTGTTGGTTATAGTTATGTTTAGTTGGCGCGCTAGTGCCGACACGGCCATGCTGACATGCGTGCGCCCTCGCACGCGCCTCAAATATCGTTCGACTATCCTGACAATATTATAGTGTCTGGTTCGGTCCACACTGACCCTTCAGAGGTATGGTAGTTAGTTCTGATCCGCCCTGAGGTCCTGCAAAAGATTTCATTAGTAATTATCTCTAGAGAGGTTAGGCCGGAATAATTATTCCCTGTAACCTTTTATAGACCGGAATTAAAATTCCCTGTAACCTTTGCTAGACCGGAACTAGTATTCCCTATAGCCTTAGACCGGAACTAGTATTCCCTATAGCTTTTGCTAGACCGGAATCACTATTCCCTATAGCCTTCATGCTGGACCAGAATTATGATTCCCTACAGCCACACAGTTGGACCGGCGTAAGCCCTTCAACTCTCTGCCTTTTTTTTACTCTTTTTTTACACTTTCTTTTTTTTTTACCTTTTTTTTAAACTTTCTTTTTTACTCTTTTTTTAAACTTTCTTTTTTACTCTCTTTTTTAAACTTTCTTTTTTACTCTCTTTTTTTAACATTTTTTTAATTTTCTTTTTTACTTCTTTTTTTATTTTTTATTTTCTTAAACCTTTCTTTTTTTAACTTTTTTTTTACTTTTCATTTCTTTTTTTTTATTTTTTTTTATTTTACTATTTTTTTAACCTTTCTTTTTTTTAGGTTTTTTTCTTTTTTTTGTTTTTTTTTTCTTTTTTTTCTTTTTTTCTTTATTAGCTTTTTTTGTAGCTTTTTTTTTTGGCTTTTATTGCTCTTTTTTTTTTTGGCTCTTTCCGCTCTCTTTTTTTTTTATTAGAAAATCAGTGAACGATGATCCGGACATACACTCCAATGAGCTAGCCCGTTCATCTCCACTAGCCATACTCACGTAAGTGAACGATGACCCGGACATAGACTCTAATAAGCTAGACCGTTCATCTTCACAAACTGATCAAAGCGTAGTCCGGACGTGGATTCTGGAAGCCCTTGACAGGCAAAGAATTGATGCCTTAGGAATGTGGTGCTGGCCAAATACGCTGTTACGCATACCTTAGACGGTCCGTCGTACGAACGTCACTATAATCAAAGAACTCAAAAGACAAGATGGTTAGCGCTTATCTAATATCTATTTGCAGAGAATACTGGCGTTGATTGGTCATTTATCACACAGAACAGCGGATAGTCTTAAACGTCCGCTAGTGATACGAAAAGTGGACAGTAACCGACCTACAGGCCTAAATCACAAGGGGTGGATTCACGGGATGCTGGTTTAAACTATTTGATAATTTTAATAAAATTGCTTCCATTCCAAAAAGAGGCTTTTTTTTTGCTTTTCAATGCAGTTGGTTTGATTATGAGATGGAGGTGGATCGCTATCCCACTTCTGATGTAGGAATATAAGATAAAAATGGATAGATGGATGGGCCATAATTCAAGGCATGAAGTTCTTTTAAACTGAATAATAGTTGAAATCGGATATACATAATTAGTCCAAAGACCAAATTACAACACCAGAAAAAGAATTAATTCGTTTTCACAAATTAATTATCCAAAGAGTCAAGGTTAACAGGCTAAGTACAACTAGTGCACCGCACCACGTCAGAGCCAAGACTCCTGTAGAATAATCGCGCACGTCTTTTATACAGCTACAGTGGGGAGAGTGGGGCATCGAATCACGCGCTCGGTGGCGTGATCGGTGCACGTGTTGGTTATAGTTATGTTTAGTTGGCGCGCTAGTGCCGACATATTCATATATTTGTGATAAGTTATATGTGCATTTGAATTAATATATGTCAATTATGTCAAAGAATTCAAAGAAAAGAATATCACAAATTAATTAACATGCCAAATCTTGTTCATTTTGAACTATTCAATGTTTACGATAAATAATTTAATATGAAACGAAAACATATCTTATTTAGGTATTCCTATAAATAAAAATTTTAATAATATTTTTCACATTTAATGCTCTATAATAAAAAAAATTGCAAAATATTTCTTTGTATATTACCCTATAAAGAGCTTTATTGTAATCAGCACAATGTTTGGTACTCTTCTTGAAATTGTCTATTTTCGATCTAGTGTTCTCGTGCATATCTTGTTCAAGTTCCACCAAGTCCTTGGTTATTTTTATAGGAAGAGGGCTTTGGGGTTCACACTTTTCCGTTTTAACGAGTGTGGCTGAAAAAAAATAATGTATAGCATCAGATACAACACTTTTATTTGTTTTCATTATATTTTTTATGCCTCTATAAGAACTTTGTAATGAAGTGATTTTGATGATTTGCCAATAATATTACAAATGATATTAAATATGAATGCAGAATTAAATGACATTTTTCTATTTGTAATGCATAATTTTCTCTCACCTGGTGTTTCAATGTCAGGAGTTTCTAGAACTTTCTCTTCCACATATAAAGGTTCGATGGTAGGTGGCGGTACTGTCGCAATGATTCAATATTGGTACAACTAAATACTATACTCATCCACATACAAATGTTATTAGGGTTTAATTGATAAAGATGCAGATTTAGTATTTATTCAGAACAAAAAATGAACATGTAGAACAAAAATATTTAACATATAAAATGTGTTTAATAAATTACCTTTCTTATTTATTTTATCCTTTTTATTTGATGCTGCATGTATGATAAAAACAATTTAATATTTGAAATTGTATTCCAGGAATAATATTTATAAACATTCTGCTAACTTTGATATGAAGCTTAAGTATGTACAAAGATTTATTCTAGATGATTACTATATTTAATTATAATATAAATGATCTAGTTATATTAATGTTATGTCAGAGTCCTTATAAGTTAATATTGATTAATGCAAATTTATGACAACTATTATACAATATGGCAGTACTTACACTCATAACTTTTCTTAGCAAAATCTCTGGCTGCATCTTTATCTAAATCTTGTTCAGGACGTTGTTGGAAATCAAGTGGTGTTACTCCCTCCTGTAAATGTAATATAAAGTAAATTTTTACATTTAAAATACACATTCCTGTGTTGAAGCATTATTGTTTAAATATCAATTGAGTATTTTTCTATGAAAAGCTCTTGGGAACAGGTTTTTCTCTTTTCTATTTCATATTTTGTATAAAATTAATCTGTTACATAATCATTGAAGCTTGGAAAATATGAGTTGTATGTATTTAAATGTAAATAGTAGCAATAAATACCTTTCGAGTTTATAAAAAAGAAATTAAAGTAAAACTACCTGTGAAATGTCCATTCATAAAATAAGTTACACTTTAAATAGGGGCAAGTTGTGATGGAGCATGATATTGTAGGAAAAGTGATGTAGAGAGTGATGAGCTTGGTGACATCACATGTTTATAATAAAAAATATCTCTGTTAGTACTTTATTAGATTCATTATATAATATCTCAAGCAAACAACATCTAAAGATATGTAATGCAAGTGAGGTGCTTAAATTCTTAAGAATTCTGAATAATATTTCTGAGTACATTTAAATATTTTTAGTGAGTGAGTGTTACTTTTTTTTTTTTTGTGCTCAAATAGATTGTTTGCTATTTGTTTATTTGCCAAAGAGTAACTTCACATCAAAAGGGGGGTTTGAAAAATTGTCACACTTTTTGACAAACCTACAAAGTCTTGAAATTAATATAAAAATTTGTATGAAATAACTGACTTACTTTTCCAAACAGAAAATTGGTGACGGATTTAGTTGGTCTCTTGGTATACGAGGGCTACCAGGTCATTAGCCCACGGTACGTTAGATTCCAGCCAATTACGAGCTTCAGGACTTGACCTTAAAATAAATAGACAAATAAATTAGTTATCACTTTTTTTATAGTAAGTAGTTTTATTATATTCTACATATTAAAATTAATGATAGTTCATTGATTCATAACATTTCGGGGATAATATGTCCCGTTATTATATCAGTCTCATAAACTTCAACTTAAGTTTTTACATCATACATTTAAAATAATTTATTTTCAGACCAACGATGCATAATATTCGGCCGTGCAGATGCTTTTTCGTCACGTCCCTCCATCCTTTTCTTCGTAAAATTGTTCACTGTCATTACAGCTTTCAGAACTACTGCCTAGAAATCTTCAATACAACAATCTTCCAACAAAGCCACAATACTAGCTGCGTCCCTTTTCAATAACATTTTTAGTAAGAACTTATAAGAAAGTAAGTTAATTGACATAGAATATTAAATCAGCAAATGAACATAAGTCACGAAATTACTGAACAAGTGATGACGCCGGATCATAACAACATGTTTTCATAGGACGCATTTCTTTCATTACATACTAATGATTTACAAGACAAATATGAATTGTAAAAACCCAAAGTTATACCAAAGTATGTATAAGTAATTTCTTTTTTAGTTTCTTTACGCTCAAACACGTTTATTGTGACTAGTGACTACATAGTAAATATCATTATTAAATTGAATCAAATGTATCTTAATAATTTAAAGGAAAAAATAAAACAAAAAATTGAAATAAAAATCATTCTCTAATTTTAAATTACATACATTTCATATTTACACAAAGCTAAGCAAACCACAGTGCATTTTCATCCAATTCAAAGATAAAATGTCTTCTGATTTCTAAATGCATTTTTGTGGCAAAATAAATAAGGTTACTCTTAAATCAATTTGAACCTGCGGTAAATACAATAAGGGGCAATTTCGAACGAATTCTTTATTAGGTATTTCCTTTGTCTAACAAATACAATAAATCTTTGAAACAATTAATCGACACATTTAAAATTATATACCTTTGTTCCAAAAGAGTTTTTCGAAAAAAATATATATTAAAGAGATATTAAATGAAATTTTATTCCAAGTATCGAATCGATTAAATTAAAGATAGGAGTGTCTATAAGGGACGGTGACTGTAAAAGTATTCAACTAACAAGTTACATTATTGAAACGCCAAATAAGGAGCTAAATTATGTCACGGACCAGTGTGTTACGTCAAAGGTGTTGATAAATAGTTCAACAAGTAAATCAGGAGAAAATATGGCTTTCGTTTTCGTACTATATTATTGCTAGTCCGATTTTAATTCAGCATTCACAATGACGTCACCCGACAGACACGATGACGTCACAGAGACCGATTTGAGTCAATGACAAAAACAGTACAGATTAGATATATATTAACGATCTCGTTCATTTATAATCTATATTCTATATAGTAAGACTACGCCGGCGTGTTAGATGTTAGTTTCTACTGCGTCAGTCACGTATGGATTTAGTGACGTCACGCCGGCTCGCGACGAGTTTGAGAGACGTCGTAGGTCATTAGAACGTTGGTGACGTCATGCACTATGACGTCATTATAGGTACAGCAGGCCCGAGACGCTGGCGTGCGCCATGACCGCGTCCGCGGCCTGTCTGACCTCGAGGTGGGCCCGGGCCTCGTCGACCCAGGAGCGGGCCGCGGCCCGCGGGGCCCCGGAGAGGAGGTTCACGTAGCGGAGGGCGTGGGGTAGCTGAGCCGTGGTCCATGTAGTACCTGGGAGGGAAATTGGAATTAAGACATTAACGAGTATTCAATTAAAATTTAAATGAAAGTAATATTTTCGGATGAACTATGTACGGGTTCTTTATTAATTAAAAGTACATATATACTCTTTGAAGCAACCTTAAATAAGTCGAATGAATTGTTAAATCATAAAATAGCGGATATATAGCAATATAAGCAAAGTTATATTTAAATTTTTTCAACTTCCCTAAACTTGCTTTAAAATTTAAAGCATACTCTTAGCAATTAGGTTGTAAAATTATATAAAATATTTATTTTCTTTCTGAGGTTAACATTAAGTCATTTACTTTTTATTTTACCATTTTCATGAGTGTTTTGTGTATAAAAATGATTCATTTCCAAGTTTTCTCCGTCTTAGCTGTTGAATTATGCATTAAATGTACCTGTTATTCAATGAATTCAGTTCTGACTAGTGTGGCGAGGTAACCAATATGGAATTTGAACATGTAAGACTAATATTATGATTATAAAAGATTTCAGAAGTGTTCTTTTATGCAAGAAAAATATATCTGACATGTGTTTAATATCATCACAGTACACTTATATAGTGGGATCGGAAAAATAAATGTATTAAATCTCTCACCTGGCTCGTTGTATGATATCAAATGTATCCAATTTTGAGAAATCCGTTGGTTTATTGTCCAGTTCGTCTTGAGGTATTTCGGCGAACTGAAATTGAAAATTATCTATTTATAGAACTTAGATTACAATAAGCAGCTTGGACAATTGAAATATAATATGAATTGTATGTCCAAACACAGTAATGGACTTATAATTTCAATCTTTTATTCCGTTACATAAACTATGATCTTGCTTGAAGTTTAATTAAAAGTTCAGCATTTATTGTTTGAAAGACTTCTTTACATATCCTTACAAAATTCATCAAGCTTCAGAAACAAACAAATTTTTCTATATGAATAAATATATTTATTTAATCAAAACAATACCTTCTGGTACAATAACTTGGATTGCAGCCACGACAGGAAATAAACCACAAGGCTCGCACCCTCACGTCCTACTAAAGCTACTTTTACAGCTGTCCTCTCCAACTGAAAAAATAAATAGATTATTAAATTAATTATTTTAATCTGCCAACATTATTTTAATTTGGCATTTATACCAAGTTAAATTCCATATAAAACTGAACATTTTGTACTTAATTAGATTTTCTATTACTATTATTTATATGGCACCAAAAATAACATTTGATTTTTATCTTAAAGATCTTTTTTAAACAATAAAATGAATTTGTTTTAAGATAAGAATGTTAATACGCTTTTATTCAGGCTGAATAACATAAATGCGTTTATCCGAAATGCGTGTTAAAAAATAATTATAATAAAATACGTACTCTGTCAAATTTATCCCTCAATGCTTTCTCAGTAGCGATGCCCTTCTCACGGACCTCGTTAGGAATTCCTTTTAAGACTGTTTGCACTAATTTGTCGTCTTTTCCTGAAATCGAAAACAATACAATATAAAAACCAATAAAATATATATTTATAATTACATACAATACACTTTTTTATGTGAAAATCTAGAAGACGGCCCACTTGATGGAAGGTAGTTAACGACGCCCATGGACATCCGCAACATCTTTGTTGCGGATGCGTTGGAAACCTTGTTTTTTATAGGAATAGGAAGTGTGGAAATAAGGAAATGGTAGAAAAGGGTGGGAATATGGAAAGGGCAACCGGCTCTGTCACTCATCGAACGAAACGTAGCCATAATAGGCTACTTCACGCCGTTCTTCTGTGAGAGGGTTTTACTTTCCCGGTCGAGCCAGCCCATGTTCGAGCTGTAGTAACTGACCACAGCTAGGCTCTACCACCTACAGAACGTCATGTTCATGGTTTGATTTGTTTTTAAATGGAACATTAACTAATAAATTCGATACTATGATAGTTCATTAGACAGATTATGATTAAGAACATTACTACCATATACCACTTCAGATATCATCATCAACATCATCAGCATATCTGAGCCCACTGCTGAGCAAAGCCATTTTTCTTACATGGAGAAGGTTTTGAGCATTAATCACCACAAGCTCAAGACGGGTTGGCAATTTCAAACGTATAACTTGAAATTATAAGTCCAGATGTATTCACGATGTTTTTCTTTACCATCTGTCAGTGGAGTCTAAATACTCTATGACTGTAAATATAACTCTGAAAAATCACATCGGTACTTGCCAGATTTTGAACCCACGCCCTCACGCACGTGAGGCGGACCTTTAACCTCCAGGCCACTACGACTTCAGATATATTTAAATGTGTGCGTGCCTTCATAATTCAGCGATAGTACGCATGTGTGCGTGTCAAATGCGGGCATGTTTACGTACGTGAACGCATGTGTGTGTGTGTAAGCGTGTGTGTGTGTGTAAGCGTGTGTGTGTGTGCGTGTTTATTTCCTCACCAGCCTGTTCGAGCGCTCTCAGTTCCTTGTCGAGCGTGGCCCTAGCGTCGTTCCTCCTGGCGGCCGCGTGTAACGCCTCGGCCGCGGCCCACAGAGACTGAGAACGACGAGCCTCGGCCTCCGCGGCTGAACGCTCTGAATAATACATATTAAAATTTTTTTTTTTTTTTTTTTTTTATGTAAAAGGTGGCAAACGAGCAGACGGCCCACTTGATGGTCAGTAGTGACCGTGGCCCATGGACATCCACAACATAGACGTTGCGGATGCGTTGCCAATCTTACTTGTGGAGGAAAAGGGGGGGTTGGGAATAAGGAAATATAAGGAAAGGTTGGGAACAGGGAAAGGGCAACCGGCTTTCTCACTCATCGGACGAAACGCAGTCATTATTGACTACTTCACGCCGATCTTCTGTGAGAGGGTGGTACTTCCCCGGTCGAGCCAGCCCATATTTGAGCTGTAGTAACTAAACTACAGCTAGGCTCTACCACCTATAAAATAAAAATATTTAATATATTAATAACTTGAATAAATTATAATTATATAAGCTCTATATTGTATACAGTAACTTATAGTTCCAATATGTGTTGTAAAGTGAATTATTTTGAATATAAATAACAAGGATGTATAATATATAATTATAATACACTAACGTTTTAACGTCTGTTCTATAGCCTGTAGTTTGCCGGCCATAGCTCCCAGCTCCTTTTTGAACTCTACGCGTTCCTTTTCAACTTGTTCCGAAACAGAGCGACTGAATTTGTTCATGACCTGCAATAATATTAACGTGTTAAATGAAATAGAGGTTAAAAAACAATAATAAAAAAGGTATTTACTGTGATCCGCGTAATTCAAAGGAAAAAAACCTGAAGTATGTATATTAAATTGATATAAACAGATTAAATGTCATTAAAAAAATCAGAAAAGCAAAATAATGCTCAGAAAGTCTTTATCAAAAGAGATAAGTTATCAGTAGTAATCAATTTGATTGTATAATCTGTATTTATATGTCTATCTCTGTCGCCCACATACCTCCTTCTCTTTCTTAGCCAGTTTATCTTGTAACACCTCCTGTTGTATCTCAAACTGTTTCTTCAACTGCTCTTTTAAGTTCCTATTCGCTTCTGCTTGGATTTCTAAGCTCTGTGTACAAACAATTAATGCAAATTAATTAAGTAAATATATATCTGGTTTCATATACAACATATTTTTTTGCTTATATATTTTAACAATGTAAGTGTTAAATCATGAAAAATTTAATCAAAGATCCAATTTCAAATGAAAAATTATTCAAGATACACATTTTAATATCATATTAATATACCTTTTTCTGGAACTCCTTTTCTTTCTCCATTCTTTCGTGTTTTATCATGTCTTCTACTTTAGCTTCTATGATTGCCTTTTCATCGTGACCTGAATAAGAAAAATATATAGTATGTTATATATTGTTAGGTATTATATATCTCGCAATATTGTTAGACATTTTCTCCCTCTTTAAAAAAGATTTTTTACTACAAGAGCAATAAAATAAGTTGAAAAAATGTTAAAAACATATTCAAATTATTTATATTTTATACTAACATTCAATAGCTCTGTTGATTTTCAATTCCCTTACAGTCTGCAACTCGGCAATTTCGTTTTGTAAGTATTGAATCTGAAATAACAATAACACATGACTATAATATATCAAAATTATATCACAACTTTTTGTGTAGAATAAAATTTCATTTGTGATTAAAATAAGATGATATTGAATGTAGATAAATAAATATATGTATGTATTTATTTTTAATTAATTAAGTAATTAATGCATTATATACCTGCTTCAAAGTATACATAAGCAGAAGATCGGTGTCGCCTCTAATATCAAGCTGTCTCGCTGTAAGGTCTATGCTTGGGAACAGCATTTGAAGCTCTTCCTTATACATCATACGAGCTGCTTCCACCTAATATCATAAATATTATAATCCTCCTAATATTATAATTGCGAAAGTTTGTGAGTGTGTGTGTATTTTTGTTACTTCTTCGCACTCAAACGGTTGAACCGATTTTGTATACAGGAAGCTGACGTCCACGAATAACACATAGGCTACTTTACATCCCGGAAATCCCGAAAATCCGCGGGGCGCAGCTAGTAGGTTATATAATCCATTTATTATTACCTTGTTCCAATACTTGTCACTAAGCACAGCCTTATCTACAGCCTCCTTATATTCGTCCTCAGCTATGCTCAAATCGTTCCTGAACTGTGTGATGTATCTCTTAGTGGCCGCAATCGTTTCAGGAGGCGCTTGGACGCCGGCTTTAATCATACGGTCCAAGGTCTCTGTGGAGATAAAATTAATGTAACATTAATATAACACGAAATATATTCCTTTTTGTTATTCGTTTTCGAATATAGTTGAATATAATTAATAATTATAATTAAATTGTTCTGACCATATACATTTGACAGCACATGTCAAACTTCAAATCATTTACTTACTATATATGTGACGATATATTTAATCTACAATTATACAATTAGATAATTAAATGCAAAATATTTTCAATATAGAATATTATTGAATTTTGTGTTGGTATAAAATAACAGCCATATATAAATTGAATAACACATAACATATAAATTATATAATCAACATCACATTATACATTAAAAAGAAAACCAAACATATTTTTATTCGTATTAGTTTACCTATGTGCACATTAAAAGAGTCTATGTTAGTACAAAAAGTCAAAACCCTCAAAGAAGTGACCCACATACTACCATAAACCCACCCACTACCCATAAAACCACTAAACCTATATTGTTTAATTCTTACTTACGTACTTTTAATCATACATTACGAAATACAATTGACCCTGGCTATAGCTGGGAAATTGCCAAGTAGAAGAGAGATTACGAAATACAATTGTTTACAGACATTAAAAATGACATTTGATTCATGATTTGTTGAAAGTGCTATCTATTAATGTAAAAACGAAACATTTTCAATCGGCCGCTACTAACTGCTAGCGCCGCTATGTAGCCAGAGCGGCGGTATGCACAACCACTCTCTGCTCATTTTCCATAAAAAAATTCTCAAGAACAATCGACAATTCTCGTGTATGTATGCAGGAAATGTGTAAAACTAACAAATACATAGTGTTCGAGAAGCACTGATTATTCTTATTGTTTAAAATCTCGTAGAAAGTTCGTCTTTTGTCAAATGAAATGGGACTCTCTGATTGGTCGGTAAACTGTTCATGTATTTTTGCCATTTTATTATTATTGAATATTATAATTTGTTTTTCTAAGCGCAAGTGAATACGTTTTAATTGGTTAAATAGTAAACAATGGATTGATTTATCAACGAATTATGGAAAATTATAGGTGTGAGCTCTATGCTTGTGATGTGTGTTTATTGAAATTAATTACGAGTAGATTTTCAATATCATCGTTTGAATATAAAATTCAAAATAATTATAAAGGGAAGGTGTATGACCAGTTGAGATTGAACTAAAAGAAAGGTCATTCGTTTTAATAAAAAGTATTATTAGATATTTAATTAGTTAGCAGGTTGTGTACACACACACACATAAGTTATTTTGTTTGTTGTTTTCAAATGATAATAGTAAGAATGTTTGAATCTCTTGGATATTCCTATTTAAATAACTTTTATAAAGCTGTGATGAACAGATCATAATCGTTTGAAGGTACTTTCGTGGTTCAGAGGTACCTAGTTGAGATATTCATAAAGTATATAGATGTTCGTTCTGATCGGACTGCTGTAACATTATGCGCGAATATCATTAATGTTTAAATGAAACTAATATTTTCTGATTACTTCGCGTATTTTATTATGTTTAAAACCTACAAACTCCCGCCGTTTCGATTACTTTGCAGCAACCCTGATCACGGCAGACATCTCGTCTGCCGTTAAAAATAATATATTACGCTTAGTAATTCGAAAATATTAGCTACATTTAAATGAATACTTGCGAAAGGTCTCATTATTATCAATGTTTTAAAAAGAAAATTATGAACAATTGTACTTTTTTTTTTTTCAAACATATTCTGCCTACCCTACACCAAATTTCTGTGCACGAAACTATTTAACTAGATTATATGTATCATTAAAGCCGTTTCGGAAGAGTATGGGAACGAACGTTGTAACACGAGAATTTTATATATAACATTATATAAAATACTATACATATAACATTATATAAAATACTATACATATAACATTATACAGGGTGACTGGTGAGTTACTATCAATATTTAAGGAGCATACTCGGTACATGATTCTCATTCGAATTATGTAAAAAAAATAGGTACTTAATTTTTGACCAAATTTCCGTATAAATAAATAAAGTTTGGATACGTACTCATCCTTGCCGGCGCCAGTGTGTCGCTACTCCCCAACCCCCGCCCCGTGGCTAGCGGGCCATTAGTCGGCTATTAGTCGCGCGAGGTCCGCCGTAAGGTCCGTACGTTCGTCTTCCCGCGCGCGCGCCTAGCGATCGATCTTACGCGTATACCTAATAATAATCTGTCGTGTGTGCGTGTGACCCGTTATTACTTATTAGTAATTAAATATGGCTTTTCAATACACAAATGCAGAATACTTGGACATGGTTTATGCGTATGCGCGTGCAAATGAAAGCTTGCGGGGCGCAATCAATTTGTACCGGGAGATGTTCCCCAATCGTCGAGTACCTACGGCCAGCGTCATCTTAAACGCTAATCAAAGATTACGAGACTTCGGACAGTTCCGTGTTCCAACACATGCCCAAGGAAACGTCTTGTGTATGCTACAGAGTATGTAAACAGAGAGGAGTTGAAATTAAAAATCAATAGTGATTTCAAAACTATTAAAAGTGACCCATTCGTATTAAATCGTGTGAAAGAGAATATGCGTAAGCGTGCCGAACTGTGTATCACACGAGAAGGAGCTCGCTTTGAACATTTGTTAAGGTTAGTGTAGTTATGTAGGTAAATAGGTAGTTTAATGATTGACAATTGTTGTAAATAAGTATGATTCCATTTTTAAATACGCCGGAAATACCAAGATAGGTAAACAGTTCATATTATTTTTTGTGTCAAGGTCACACCATTTACCTAGTCAATAAATTGGTTGCTTAAACGAAAGAAATATCTTGGTATTTTTGCCTGTCCTAAGCCAGGATTAAAGTATGAAGGGAAATGGATCATTTTTGTTTATCTAAGGTCTAACACGCGGCGGCGCGCGGCGTTTGGATGTAGGTAAACTACCGCGCGATAACTACATATACCTACGTACATAACTGTTTTGTGTCGATAACGCAGCTAGGGTATCCACGCGATCCGTAATTAATTACATAACTTTTGGTTAACTTTACTTAGAAGTTTATTAATATTTATGTTATATTAATTTTTATTTTGTCATATATGATCGTCAACTACCACGTCCTTAAATATTGATAGTAACTCACCAGTCACCCTGTATAAAAACTCTTGTCAATAGAATCTTATGTGATATAATACCTAGTGAATGGAGAAAAAGCTACCTAATTCCATTCTATAAAAACAAGGGTGACATCAGACTCTGTGACAACTATCGCGCCATAAAACTTATACCACATACTTTTAAGATATGGGAAAGGGTCATAAACAACAGACTGGTGAAACTTACTAAGATAACTGAAAATCAATGTGGCTTCGTAGAAGGAAGATCAACAACAGCTCTACATACTCTAAGGATTCTATTGGAAAAGTATAAAATATTAAAAAAAGACCTACATCTCGCTTTTACAGACTTAGAGAAGGCATTCGATCGAGTACCACGAGAACTAATATGGCAATACATGCGTTGCTACTTTTAAGTATCTGGGCTCTGTAATCACAAATGATGGTACGATCGACGCTGATATAAACCACCGAATCAAGACAGGATGGATGAAGTGGCGGGAACTGTCAGGTGTCTTATGCGATAGAAGAATGCCGATAAGAGTTAAAGGAAAGGCATACAAAACTGCGGTTCTCCGCGCCCTTATCCACGGTGATGAATGCTGGCCTATGAAGAAAACTCATACCATAAAAATGCACACGACGGAAATGAAAATGCTGAGATGGGCAGGAGGAGTCACTCTTAGGCCTCGGCCTCGAATTTTGCGGGCAGCGGAGCGGCGGCGGCACGGCAACGCATACTGTTCTCCAAACTAGCGGGCAGCGGGCACCGCTGTATTCGAGGGTCGGTCCATTTGATTATACGCGTAAGATCCTGCCGCTCCCGCTGCCGCTCCGCTGCCCGCAAAATTCGAGGCCGAGGCCTCACGGATTAAGTGAAAAACAAATATATCCGTGGGAGTTTTAAGATCCGTCCAATCGAAGAAAAGCTCTTAGAAGCGCGTTTGAGGTGGTATAGCCACGTAATGAGAAGACCTGAAGACAACATGACAAAACAAGTCCTGAGCTTAGATCCCGGACCTAAGAAACGAGGGAGACCCTTTTTAACTTGGATGTCGGTTATAAACAAGGACCTAAAGGAAGCCCAACTTGATGTCTCGACCATCCAAGAAAGGCCAACCTGGCGAAGAATTACGAGGAGAGCCGACTCCAATTGAAATGGGAAAAGGCTAGGCAGAGAGAGAGAGAGATTATATAAAATACTAACCAATAGCACATTTAGCTTTAGCGGACGCCTCCTTAGCCTTCTTGACGGCGTTATCACGTTCACTCTGAGCGCCCTTCAGTGTCGTGAAGTATTTTCTGTCAAGATCAGCGATTGGTGTTTCTACAATCTGTAATGTATTAATATATTTGTGATAAGTTATATTTGCATTTGAATTAAAATATGTAAACTGAGCAGTTTGTCACTTATAAAAGTCCGCAAATATATTACAAAAGACAATGAACCATAGAAATAAGAAAAAAAAATATCGCAAAGTAATTAACAAGCCAAATCTTGTTAGTTTTTGACTATTCAATGTTTATGATAAATAATAATTTAATATGAAACGAAAATCTTTTCCTACAAATAAAAATTTAACAATATTTTTCACATTTAATGCTCGATAATAAAACAAAATTGAAAATATTTCTTTGCATATTACCCTATAAAGAGCTTTATTGTAATCAGCACAATGTTTGGTAGCCTTCTTGAAATTGTCTATGGCCGATCTAGTGTTCTCGTGCATATCTTGCTCAAGTTCCACCAAGTCCTTGGTTATTTTTATAGGAGGAGGGCTTTGGGGTTCACACTTTTCCGTTTGAACGAGTGTGGCTGAAAAAAAAAGTATAGCATCAGATACAGCACTTTCAATACATTTTTTATGTTGCTATAAAAACTTTGTAATGAAGTGATTTTGATGATTTGCCAATAATATTACAAATAATATTAAATATGTATAGAGAATTAAATGACATTTTTCTATTTTCTATCCAAAATTTTCTCTCACCTTGTATTTCAATGTCAGGAGTTTCTAGAACTTTCTCTTCCACATATAAAGGTTCGATGGTAGGTGGCGGTACTGTCGCAATGATTCAATATTAGTATTGTTAACAACTAAATATTATATTGATCTACATACAAATGTAAGTATGGTTTGATCAATAAAGATGCACATTTAGTATTCATTCAGAACAAAAAAAGAGCATGTAGAACAAAAATATTTAATATGTGAAATGATTTATTTATGAATTACCTTTAAAATATTAAAATATTTATGAATTACCTTTCTTATTTATTTTATCCTTTTTATTTGATGCTGCATGTATGATAAATATTTTTGTAATATTTAAAATTCTATTACATGAATAATATTAATAAATTTTGCACTAACTTTGATAATAAGTTTAACTATGTACAAGGATTTATTGTAAACCATTATGTATTATGTTTGATTATAATATAAATGATCTAGTTATATTAATGTTATGTTATTCCTTATAAGTTACTATTGATTATTGCAAATTTATAAAGACTATTATACAATATACTAGTACTTACGCTCATAACTTTTCTTAGCAAAATCTCTGGCTGCATCTTTATCTAAATCTTGTTCCGGACGTTGTTGAAAATCAAGTGGTGTTACTCCCTCCTGCAAATATAAATTTTTACTTTTAAAATTGAGACTTTTTGTATAAAAAACTTGTGAGAAAAGTTTTTTCTCTTTTTAACTTGATATTATCTTTAAAATGAATCAGTTACATAATTGAAAACTGGATAATATTATTTTTATTTACATATAAATAGTAGGGAAAAATACCTTTTGAGTTTATAAAAAAGAAATTGACTGAAAACTGCCTATGAAATGTGCATTCATAAAATAGGTCACACCTTAAAGTGAGATCAGGGGTATTGAAATGTGACATAGTTGATAGTGGGAAAAGTTATGTAGAGAGTGATAAGCTTGGTGACATCACATGTTAATAATAAAAATTCTCTCTGTTAGTACTTTATTATTTTCATTATATAATTATCTCTCAAGAAAACAACATCTATAGATATGTAAAACAAGTGAGGTGCTTAAATTCTTAAGAAGTCTGAATAATACTCTGAGAAAATTTAAATTGTTAGTGAGTGCTACTTTGTTTCCTACTGTTCTCAAGTAGATTGTTTGCTTTTTGTTTATTTGCTATAGAGTAACTTCACGTCAAAGGGAGAGGGTTGGAAAAATTGCCACACTTTTTGACACACCTACAGTCAAAGTCTTGAAATTTGTGTGACCAAATTAATATAGAGCCAAAACTTATTTGTTGTAAGCAATAAAAAGGAATTCCTTTCTCATGAAATATGGCTGTCTATGTAATTAATATAAAAATTTGTATGAACTAACTGACTTACTTTTCCAAACAGAAAATTGGTGACGGATTTAGTTGCTTTATTGAACTGATTGGCTGTAAACTTCCAGTATGTTGTGTTCTCTTGGTACACAAGGGCTACCAGGTCATTAGCCCATGGTACATTAGACTCTAGCCAATTACGAGCTTCAGGACTCGACCTTAAAATAAATTGATCAATATAAGTTCAATATTTTTTTTAGTAAATTTATTATAATCTACATATTAAAATTAATGATAATGGATAACAGAGCTAAAATATATCTATTTATAATAAAAGAAACATTTAAAGTTACATTATGTTCAGTATAACCATAACTTATTGCAGTATACATTAAATTAAAAAGGTTTTTTCTCCTTATAAAAGATTAGATAACATAAACCATAATAAAATCTTTTTTATATTATCATTAGTTTAAGTATTTAAACATACTTAGCATAAACAATGGCAGCACCGGTTAACATTGTAGCTCCAACTGTCCCCCACAATAGTTTCCGAGACTTCGGCTTATCTTTTGGTGGTGGACAGGTATCAGCCATTTTCTTCTGATCGATAGCATAGTGCCGTTGTGGCGCTCGCATCACTATTAATGCGGCACATGATCCATCTCCTATCTGTTTCCTAACCTGGAAATCATTGTTAAAAATATAATTTTACTGTGAAACACTTTCTTTTACTATTAGAATGACCACTGAAATCTTGTTCTGGCCAGATATAACTTAAAACTGACAAATAGCAATCAGAGTTTGAATAAATCATCCAAGAAAAAAAAATCAATTTAGAGTTAAATAAGTTCAAATATGTATTCCCAGTTTTTATTTTCAACAAAAGAGTAAATATTATTTGTAATAAATGATAATATAATGTGACAAACCCACAATTATATTTTCATTATACAAAAATAAAACAACTTGACATCAAGAGATTTCATCATTATTATTATTGTTAATTCCTCCTATATTAAAAAGTTATATTTATTTATAACATTGTAACTATATTAATAAGTTATATATATTATTATTACTCTGTGTAATTTGTTCTTATTAAAAAAATAAGAAAAATCTGTTATTTAACCCTATATTATAACTTGATATAGCTAGACGCGGTAATGATTTGTCGTCATTGGCAGCCGCTTTATTAATTTTCTAGGTTATTAACAAAAATGACGTTACAATGTTATGTAAGGTATAACAATAACAATTAATGTTTTGCATCTAATATTAAAAAAATATATATAATGAAAATAGTCTCCGTTTGTCTCTTAGGTTTAAACTGGGTTTCTTTAAACTATTACATTATATAAATCTATAAAAACATTTGATACTTAAAACTTGTGTGTATTAATTTAATTTGTGGTACATAGTATACATTTTTCCATTAAATCATTTCATTTTATATGAATAGCTTCAAGTTAAGAGTGATACTTACCAAAACTAAATGAGAACTTGTTAAATGATTTCTAAATCTGTACATATTTTCGACACTAATCCTAATTCCTATTCCACTTGGGCTGTCAAAAGCGGCTGGACAAATCGGTGGCCATAGACTTCGGAACGTATGTCAGGTTATCACCGTCTTATAGTAAATTTTGAATAAAAGATAAAAAAATTGTCTGAAGGTTTACTGAAAAAATATAATAATACTTGAAGTTTATTGATTTGTATTACTAGTTATAATATATATTAGATACATAGTAAGAAAAAGTAAATATTTTAGTAAAATTTCACAAATTACATATATATTTTTTCGATTTAATTGATTGCATTTACATATAAAACATATTTCATGTTATAATAAGAATTATACAACTATAATGTTCACTATGTATTAAGTCCAAATCATTATTTAGCTGTGTTTATGTCAAACATATGACACATGTCAAATAGGTTTAGAAAATCCTTCAGAATTCAGATTGGTTTTATTTTACATGTCTACATTAGGTTTGTCTAACAATTACAGACTAGAAATAGAAAATTAAAATGCTACGAAGTGTATTTCCTGGTAAATTAAATGATAAACATTACCTGTTTGAAGTCAAATATATTATGTTATTTGTTTTCTACTTTTTGTCTTATGAATTGCGGTTGTATTATTTTGATGTTTGAGGTTACTATACTTTTTCAGCCTTGCGCAGTATACGGCTAGTGTCAACACCGTGTTATAATGCTGCCAGGAACATTCTTTATCAACCAAGGAGTTTTGCAACTCTAAGCAAAGTGAGCAACAATTGTGCATTACCACAACTCAAAAATGATTCTCTTGTAAATAATCGACAAATTTTGGAGATATCAAAGAATATAGTAGTGGTTCCAGCGAGAACTGTAATAAAGTTTAGCTTACAGAAAGGCAAACGAAAATCTGTTAAAGCTGTAGTTAAAAGATTCTTCAGATTGCACTGGGGTGGATGGATAAGAACCAAAATTGGAAGGCATAAAAAGTTATGGAAAAAATCATCAAAACAAAAGCGTAGATTACGCCAACATGTATTTTGCAATGCAACACAGAATACTTTGCTTGATAAAATGGTAACAAGATACTGGAAAAAGCCGAAATATTATGTTGATGATCCTTATGCTCCTTACCATACAAGAGAAGAGAATTCCCCATCACAAGAAGAAAACCAAGAGATATTTATTAAGCAATATTTGTGATAGTGACTAGAATTAGATAAAATATAATGTGTTTACTTTCAATGTCTGCTTTTACTTTAAATTTGTCTATTATCTGTCCACTAAAACAACAGGTGACTTTTCACAATGGTTGGAAACATATACCTATGTTTAAAATTGTACAATAATATTTAAACTATGAATATGTAAGTGATAGTAATCTTTCAATTATACTTTTTATTATTCAAGAATTTATGAGAGATATCTTATACATCACTAAAGCTTTTCCTTCTAGGAGTTCAGAATCTTTAGTATTATACTTTGTTAATTACAGCATAAAGTATTATCATAACTTAGTCTCCTCTTAATTTGATTTATGCTAAAATGAAATTTACACCTTTATATCTTAGTTTTCTGTACTAAGTTTAGTCTGAAACAAAATTTAACCTACTATTATATAACTCATATAACATCCTCACTACAATTTTTTTAAATAATCTGGAAACTCTGGCCACTGGTCAAAATTTAAATCCCACTATAATTGTGCCACTAGCCTTAGATACAGTAAAAACTGAGCACATTGATTGTTGTTTTATGAATCAGATGAGTTCAACATTCAATTAGGAAGTCTGGACGTCTTATTAATATTTATGTCTTAAAATAATACATAAGTGTTTCTATTCTCAGAGACAGTTGTTTCAATTGTTAGAAGAATGTCCAACAAAAATTATATTATTGCAATTTCAACAATGTTTTGTACAATCTGATAAAAATTGTTTTATTACTATTATACTTTTATCATAATTTAAGAGCACATATATAGAAAATATTGTTTTTTTTTTACAGAATCATTTGATCAAAGATGAAAGATAAGGTTTATTTTAATAGCTAATAAGGCTATACACATTTAATCACTTATAAATTAATATTCCTCTTAATAACAACTCGTTACTGCATTGCCTTAATGTTTTGTTTAATTTGTTCTTCTATATTGTATCTTTGAAGGTATCTTTTTGGAATCCATCTTCCGTACCATTAAACTATTCATTAGATACAAATGTTAAGACCTCATGCTAACTACAATCATAACGTCAGTCTGACGAAGGCTACATCTGCTCAAGTCGAAGCATATAACAAATTTCAAGTTTCTTTATAAATTAGTACCTAAACCTTACAAAGATATTCCGCGTCAAATTGACGTATGCCTGTTCATAATATTTCTCTCTTTATATATAAAATCTGGCAACCGAGCTTTACTCGGTATTTAGGAATTTTTAGTATATATTTTATGTTTTTTTTTTTAATTTCGTTTAGGCATTTTTAAGTGAACACATTAAGAAGAGACAAAACAAAATAAATCAACATTTAATTTCTTAGTCTAATTTCAAAACAAACACTCAATGACTTCCTGTTACTTAGCAACGCCATCTGCTGTTGTGTTGTTTAAACAATTATTAAAATCAATTAGCAAAAAGTAGTATTACTATTCGCCAATAGATGTCAGGAAGGAAGGAAGGAGTATACATACATAGGTATATATACAAGAATTGCCCATTTAAATATATACGATATCTACTAACACGAACACCTTCACAGAGTTTGTGACATTGCACTCGTCACTTGAAGCGAGGCTCAGGGTTCACTAACAAGGTAAGTGCCACCGATTTTGAGTTATAACGAAACTGTGAGTACTTACCTAAAAATTGCGCATAATTATCTTTTATGTGACTTTTTGATGTTCCCTTTTTTTACTTTCTTGTGAGTTTATTAGTATTTGAATTTATCTTATCTTTTTTACATATTGTGACTAGAAAAAGTCAAAATGGGAAGTAAAATTCAAGTGTAGACAATATCTCGAGTGCGTTTTTAGGTTCATTTAACGAACTGCTTTGTCTTTTATAAAAACGGGCTGTGATATTAATATGAGATATCTATTTCACCATTTCAGTCGTCTTTCAACGAAGGCTCGAGGTGCTCTGAAAACTCTGTGTCTTTATAGCTCAGAATATGTTATCCAATAAATCGCCTGATTAACAATTAGCAGTATGCTATATAAAATTGTCATACGTACTGTAAGTATTCTATTTTGTATTCATATCATATTTAAATCAAAACGTAGAAAGTTTTTCTTGGCATTAAATTCTATTAATAAATAACAGCTTGCAACATGAATGACCTACTGCAAAAAACATGATAGAGTTGGTTCATTAATCTTTATTAACACCAAAATAGTAATAGTACGTAATTCGTACATAGCATATTTCACATTTAAATAGTAATTTTAATTTTCATAAGCACCTACATAATACTTTCGTTATAAGGTGAAATAAAACAGCAAAAAAATTCAAATAGTTTTAATTACTGAAACACATTTACTTAGGAAGAATTATAAGGTATAAATACAAAATAATCGTTCAAAAACTGGTAACATTCGAATTAACAATCTAACATTCTATGTATGGAAGTAAACGTGTTCGAATTTAGGTATAATTATTAAAAAGAAATCCCCAATTGATATAAAAATATAGATTTTGCAAAAGAAAAACAAATAGATTTTACATTTACATATACATACATAAATAGTATTTTCTATTCAAGTACTATATATTAATTAGCGCGTTTGACCAGAATTTTTAGTCAATTCCTCCACCAAATTTTAAATTAGGCTAAAGTTGCACATCACAAAATATCTACTTGAACATTTAAGAAATAAAATATCTCAACAATTACTAACAGTTCTCAGAACGTATATTCTATAAAATTCTACATATATCTTTGGTAATATTTTGAATTTTTTTATTAATAATGTAACCAGATAAAAGCAAGGAATTTGAAATTTTGATATAATACAAACATTACATCATAATCGAACCAAGAATTTTTAATAAATTGTAAATGCGCATCTACAGCCAACCTGGCAAAAGAGCTTAAAGTTAATGAAATTTTGGGAAAATAAGTTCTCATACAATTGAAACTGACATAAAACGCTTTAAAAACTTTCACACTTTTAACAAAAAAATCTAGTTTTATTTAATGCCTACATAAAAGTAACAATACATTTTAAATATTGTGAAATATAATTTAATACAATTAAAAATAAATTACCTATTCAATAAAAAAAAAAAAAAAAACATTTAAATAATTTGTCTCTTTAGTAATATTATTGCACAATAATGTCTTCATAAGCAAACTGGACGTAAAAATGCCGTACCAATAATTAATAACAGCTTAAGTTAAATAAATCGACTAGCATCATAATACTTTCTGCTTAATACAAATCAATTGACAAACTTAATTGTTAAAGTTGTTCAAGAAATTACATATATTTTTTTTACACAGATTATGGGATAGTTCTATATAAATTCTTAAGTGTTTGTAACACAAAGACGCAACATTCATTGATATTTAAGACGAACTCATAAAAGTGTTGTCATAAAAAAGTAGTTTTTTAATGTAAAAAAAAACATTAGTGTCTGTGTTACCATCACTTAGATTTTTATAACGTCAATGTCACTGGCCACGTATGTACACAGTAATTTTAAATAGAAATGTCGTGAAGTAAAACTAGATCACAGTCTATATTAAATACTTAAACATTTATCTAAGAGTAGTTTTACAGGAAACAACGTTAGCGTCACAACGACGAATGTATTAAATGACTAATACAAGATTATTTCGTCTAAAAAGTTCTGATTGAGAAATATTAATATTACTTCGCTTTTCCTTATTAAACTTATATTCTATTGTTTCATTGTCACGTACAATAACAAAGACGCCGCATATCTCGTGCACTGAATAATTATCGATGTTTAAAAAGTTTTCTAAAAATTAAAAATGATAGTACAAGAAATATTAAATATAATTATTCGTCACAGATAAGAGGCAAAAATCTGCTTTACCATTTTAGAATAGTACTCGAAGAACCATTACCTTTATAAATATTAACTTTCCCCAATCAGATATATAAGTTCTACGTTTAACTACTAAGTAGGTCCTTGCTAATAGAAGTTATAACGTTGGAAAAACACATTTTTACGTAATTTCGGTTATAATTTCATCGTGTTAGTCAATTGATTTGGACGGTTTGACTTTGTCCGGTTTTTCTGTACTGCCCTGGTTACTCCTATAAGAAATAAAACAATTGGCTTGTTACAATAGCAATCAACCAAAAACAAAATGGATAGCATTCTCTAAATAAACGCATTAATTATGCTTACCAGTTGAAACTTAACCGTCACAACATGTGGCATAACCTGAAATCAATCTTAGATTTATTAACTGTTATGAAATATGTATAATGTATAATGTATTTTCTTTAAATATAAAATATTACCATATATAATTGTTGTTACATAAATGACTTCAACTTTTGTCTAGACAATAACTTTGTTATATGACGAGTATATAATAAGTATTAGTAATAATAACAGTGTCTCAAGTGACCATCAATAAGAAAGTGTAATGCTTCTATATTGAATAAAATTATTTGAGTTTGAGTTTGAGTTTGAATAGTTATCTAACCCGCAGTAAGCAAGCGCGGTGATTAATGCTCAAACCTTCTCCATGTGAGAAGATGCTTTTGCTCAGCGGGCTGTGTCAGGCTGATGATGAATATTAGTTATCTACTAACCGTCCTTTATGTTTAGAAGCCTTGCTGGTCTGGGAGCTCCTTTCCTCTGTCACAGGAGTCTCCAGAGCCGGTGTCGCCGTCGCTTTCTCGTCTCGTGTGCTTGGAGCCGCGTAGAGGGATCTGAAGAAAACTTTTGGTTCACTCTATTACATTACATGATTGTTATATGTATTGAATTAAATTATCATACTTATTTTTAATATTACGTCAAAGAAATGTACCTACTGCGAAAAGTGTAATTTTGGATATCATCAGAGTTTTATAAAATATATTAATTGAGATTTTTAGTATAAAAAAGTTATCATCTTAATGCGTTTTAGTTGGTAATAGAATATTTATCTGTAAATGAAACAAATGATAAATACCTAGTTAGTTTGCTCCGAGCTGGTCTCTGGAAATTAGTGTTCTTTTTCCTTAATGAATGGAATGATGTTTTAATGGGCTTCACGAGTGCCGTGCTTGTGGTGTCGGAAACCGGTCGAGTGCAGTTGAGCGTAGTTACTGTGAATTCTACGTCTTTTATGGGTTCGTTAGAAGCTGTAAATTAATATTAAAAATAAAGCAAAACTATAAGGTTACGAGTCCTTCAATAGGACAAAATTGTTCTTTAGAAATATATATCAATTGAATCGTCAAAACTTTTCAAACAATAATATCAGTCGTTTGTTAACGTAGTCATTATCTTTAAGTAACCTGACCTGTAAATTCTTCTATGGGTTTGTCAATTGTATCATGATCTATCCATGTCAACCCCATCTCAACTTTTTCAGCTAGATCTTGCCACCTTCGCTTATTCTCCATGGTGCCAGTATATAATGGTTGAATCCATGGGAATGTGTCGGATAGTACTCTATACAGCGGCAAACATATCATATCTATAAAGCCGACCTGCATTTGAGGTAGTTCATCTTTTTTCTCTCTGTGAAGATAAAAAATATATATAAAATTTTAAACTCTTTAAATAAGCCTAAGTGAACAATTGAATGGTATTAATCAGTTAAGAGTAATAAATAAAATTGCTTTAAAATAACAAAAATAGACCAGATAGTATGAATTAATTTCTGGAATACAATTGTTTTGAAAGTGTTTTATAAGGACGAAAAAAAAGATGTAACCAAAAAATTGAGTTCCTCGTTTACTGCAGGCCCATCCTTAAATTATATAACATTTTAAGAAATATCTCTTGCCAAAACTTTCTTTAAAATTTAGAAAAACATTGTTTGTGTTAGTTAATTTAATGCCCACCTATCCATCATAGCAATAGGCTGTTGGTTGAGCTGCAGCTTCTCTAAGTCTCCCTGATCAAAAAACTCATCAGCAACTAGCTTGGCCACCTTGTGTTGCACTTCCCAGGGTTTAGCTATAGCTGACACGTCACACGCTGTCATCATCATTCCACATAATACTGAAAAATATTGTTCGATTACTTGGACTTTAGTTTCTAAAATAGACAGCACCAACTCAATGTCAAAAAATACTCATACATTCTTTCTTCTCTTGGCTCTGCCAATCGAATTCGCCATTATCTACTAATTCTAGGAACTTTGATTTCTTCTTGAAGTACATTGCTAGGTCCGTTGATAATATTGCTGTTTCCACTACCCTCATCACGTCTTTATAATCGCATGGTGACAGGGCCTATAAATATTTAAAAAGCAATTAATAGATCACAAACATAATTTCGTAATCTTTTGGTTTTATCATAATAATTACCTGGAAAATATTATTGCTTTCGCTGTTCAAGATCATTACGCACTGGTCGAAGTGATGATGTTCCATTGTGGATGTTGAATATAAAATCGCAAGAGGACTCTCCGTTTTCGTTTGGAATGCGTTATTTGTACCCCTATGGTCTAAGTCGTGGCATAGACAAGCTACTAATAGTCCTAGGATCTCAAGGTCAGTCATGAAACGCTCCATTTTACCAGTTTTTAACATAGCAAACATAGTTTGAGCTACATTTAACGCGTGCCGCCAATTATGATATTTAACAGGGCGGTAATTCTTCTTTACGCTGAGTATCCAACGACAAAGGACCTAGAAATGAATGCGTTATACAAACTGTATTATTTATATAAACCAATAAAAAATATCATATTAAAAAATAACACATACATCATATGGTATATGAAACTTTTCCACCAAATTGCATTGCAGGAACATTCTCAAAGTTGCTCTACATGTATCTTCATCAGACAAATCAAAGTCTGTAATAAAATAGAAGCTAGCTATTAAGTATCACACTAATACACATATATACGCATATTTCCAGATATGTACTGTCACTGAAAGGGATTATAGATACAGGAATTTGGCTGTAATATTTAACATGATTTGAATTAAATACAGTTGATCATTAATTAAATATACCATTTTAAATAAACTCACCGTGAAATTTGAAGCTGTACAAGTTGTATACTTCTGCAGAAGGTATGACATCTTGACATAACTTGCTCGTGTCTTCCGCGGATGCAGTGGCGTGGTATGAGAGGCACTCAAGTGCTACCTATATAGCAAACTTATGATATATATGGTTCAGTATCGCATGTATTTTATACTTTGGACAAATAAAAAATATTTTAATGCAAATAAAATGATTTTACCTTCTGCTTTGCCATCAATTTGCAAGCATTTTCATACATCTGCGTATTGTGAATACCCAAGCCGCAAAATATAGCAAATGCTTCAAATATTGAGATATCCCCGTCTGTAAATTGAGAGCCGTTTTCCTGAAAAAATACACAAATGAAAATTTACATAAACGATTGTTAATAAAATATAATATTTTTATTTTAAGATCTGAATAAATGAGGTGTTATATTTTTGTTTTTCAGGATGACTGGTACAGAATAATGGCAACAGACCCATAGCCCGCCCTATCCTAATAGTTATTTGGTACAGAATTTTATATATTAATATAAAATTCACCTTATTGATTAGTTGGGCAACTCCAATTACATCCTTATTCGCGTTTACAATTGGCATGCACAGCATAGTACGAACATTGGCCGCGTCATCGCTCGCTGGGTCCACAGTCATTCCGTGTTCAACTCTCCATTCGCCAACGTCAGATATGTTAAGAGATTTGTTTGATTGGGCCACCTGTTGGAAAGAAAATAATTAACTAATAATTTATATTATAAGTGTTCTACAAATAGGGTTCCTTTAAATGGATTTCGGTTATAACTATTATTCGCTTATATGACAAAAGCCAGCCAGGAACATGGTCTTAAGTAATGCAAAAAAGTGAAGATATAGGTTTCGTTCATCCTAATGAAATACCTATATAATGGAGGTAATTATTTGTAATGAAACAAAAATGTAGCAGTTGAATCTAAAAAATAATCTCCAAAAGTTTAAACTGATGAATTTTTTTTATAACTACCCTTGCTATCGTGTGATATGTAACCTTTTTCAATGTGAATGAACATGCAGGAACAAAGTAAAAAACAGTCTTTATATAGAAGAATAATTGTGACAGAAATACTATATCATATCATAAAAGCTCAATTAAAACCGAATAATAAGTGAAATTTCTTATTTAAAATCCATATATCCAATCCAAAATAAATCTCAAAAACTAATCATTTGGTGGTTCGTTACCATTAGCAGATAATTTCTTCTCACTAGCTTACAAACTTAATTTGGCTTCATTTGGATTATATGTATTAGAAAGGATATTATTATTGGTTCTTTGTGTTTCTACTCGAAAGGTCTGTTCATAATTATAATAATCTTTGTAACTCACCGCCAAAGCAATGCATGCTAGAGTTGATTTACTGTCATGTTTCGGTGTGAGTGTTGTTCTTGAGTGTTTGGCTCCCAGCTCGAAGAGTGTGTGGAACCTAGTGGGTGCAGGTGGTGGTAATGCCAACGCACCACTTCTGACACCACCTGGACGCTGCACTATACGTTCTAGATGACTCTGTAATGATGGCAGATATATAATATCGTTCTGTCTATTGACAAAATTAATGTGATATAAAAGAACTTTGTTTCTTTAAATAGTTTTGACAAACAAATGCGGGTTATGTGTATTTTAGTTTATTTAAGTACATATTTATGCATGTGAGCCAATATCTGAAGTTGAAGAAGAACTCAAGCGAAAAAGAATAAAATAAATTAAGTATTAGTGTTTTACGTCGTCGTTATAAGTTGAAGTTAATTTTTTTTTTTTAATATATTTATGATTTTTTTTATTAAAATGTTTAAAACAGATTAAAGAGAACTAATAGGTAAAGGTAAATAAAATGCTTATTGGCCTTTTTACTAATGATAATAATAATAATCATATAGTTAAATCATGTTGTACAATTTAAATTTATTGTTATAGGAGCTTCCTATTCAGAAATAAAAACAAGGCATAGTTTTTATTTTTATAATGGATCTAATCAATAAGATAAGATCTTTTAAATTTATTTAACATAAAAACCAAACTTACCGATTCACAATGATCAGTGTCTAATATAAACACCGCACATCTTTCACATTTCAATAATTCTCTAGCCTCAGTCATTATCTTTGTCACTAAGCATTCCAAGTTGCTTTGCTCTTCAAAGATACTCCGCGCTAATGCTAAAAGGATTTGATTTCGTTTGTATTCCAACACCGATGATTCAAACAGCTGTGCGTTTTGAATCCCAATTCCGCAGAAAGTCAAGTAGCGTCTAAATACTTCCACGTCTCGTGGTGAAAATTCTTTGGAACCTGGAAACGATTGTTCCTTATGTAACTAGAAATATGCTAAGAGTGAAAGCTTTCTATTATTTTTTTTTTATGTTGGGCAAACATACATAAATGATATTACTGTAATAATTGGCTATTCTAGCAAGAAGATTCTTTAAAATATGTATTATTGATATAACAAATTTCCGTGTTTGAGTGATAAATCAAAATTTGCTAAAGTTTTATCTTAATTGCCCCCACTGAATACACATCACCGGAGCAAACAGATATAGTAATTAAATTTATAGTATTGACATGTGAAGTTCCTTTCTTTAGTATCTCACCGTCAGTTTTATTAATGATTTGCGCGACACCAACAACATCCCCCTCGTAGTTGCAGATCGGCATGCACAGAATCAGTTCCGTCTTGTAACCCGTGCGAGCGTCTATCTCACTGTTAAATCTGCACTCAAAAGAACAAGATACTTTAACATTTTGTATTGCAAACATTCTAAAATATTATCAAACATTCCAATTAAACAAGTATAAGAAGAATGATGAAGAAAATTTTAAGTATTTTTAACCAGTGTTAGTTTAATTAAAGAAAACTTTTAACTATTTAGATGATAGACATTCACGTCATTACCACAAATATACCTAATATTTTGGACTGTAAATTATCACGTTGACTATAGTAATTCAAATTATTCAGTCATATAGGTAACCGTAACTTTAGTGTTGATCCAAATTGTGGTGTAATATTTTGTCTTCTAAATAATATTTACAAAAAACAAATGTATTTTACGTCTTAGTGGTCGTTTAACTTATGAAAAATGTGGTCAATGCATAACTTAATTATCAAAGACAGTATACCTTGGATCAGCGTAAGCATTTTTAATATTGATTGGGTGTTTCGTCTGCGCTGCCAATCCAGCGACCCCAATACCAAAAGCTATCCTAATTTCCTGTGTTCGTGCAATTTTCAAAGCGTCTTCGAGTTCTGAAAGGACAATATTTTTTTTACTCTAAAATTTCTTAGGAATCTCTGGCTGTAAAAACTTAACAATATTAAATTTTCAACAGTAATATCTGACTTTTTCAGCTTACAACTAATATTTCTTAAATAAATGATAGTTATGATAAATATGCCACTATAAAACTCTTCTTTAAAGCTATTTTTAACTTGTAACTATTTATAAAGCTTTGAAATTTAGCTTCGTGTCTTTTAGAAATCATTTTCAACTATAACTCATTCCGCGAGTTCCACTCAACCCAGTTAGCAACTTCTATAAGGCGTGAATACGAGGGCGACATATAAATTTACTGAATAATTCATAACTTTAATAAATTATTAAATGTACATCTCGCTAGAACATTTAACGAGAGATGTGACGTGATGATAATATCCTATTTTAACATATTACTATATTTACATGACCAGATTTTTTTTAGATTTTGTAATGATATACCGCCAGAATTAGTAAGTGTGTAGATTCTTTTGAAAGTATACCCTCAAAAAAAGAATGTCACCAAAGATAAAATTTATACAAATATTCCTTAATTTACTTCTAAGGTAAACTGCGTACAATTTTATGTCCAAAGTTTGTTAATCTATTTTTTTGTTACCACGCCGAGTCTCATTCATTTTGAAAATATTAAGAAAGATTGTTATAATACAAAGCAAAGAAAACTGATTAATTTTAAATGTAAGAAAAGATATCAAAATGTTCTTTTAAATTTAATGCTGCGGTAAAATAACTGAAGGTAACATTATAAGAAATACAAAGAGCTCCAATACCTGTTATTATAAAATCTATAAAAAAGGCCCTAAGAAATAAAATAATTTTTTTTTTGAGGCAAATATTTAAATCTTTAAAAACAAAAGAACTTCGTAACAATTTTTCATTAGGACCAGTCGAGTAAAAAAATAAAGATTTTTGGCAAATATTTATTTCGCCTGTATAAAATTATGACCGTTCCCCGGAGTACTTTAAAGAACTTTATTCAATATTAAAAGGTTGTAGAAGTGGAAAGTAAGTTCTTTATAAGAATAGAAATGGAAATTGTATAATTTAAGTCGTTATTTATTAAGAAAATTATAAAGGTTAATATTAAGTTTATATTAATTATTTTCCTGCATATTTAATCTCATCTTTGAATAATACTTGTAACTATTGTAATGATAATAATCTTTTAATGTTTATTAATATATTGTAATATGTATATATCTATTTAATTATTAACACTCGCCTTTCAGTTATGTAAACGCAATAACATTTTGAAATATTTTTTACTATACATGTTTTTGTTTATGGAAAAACACTTTCACTTCACTCTTTCTCATCTTTATCTCTCATTATAGAAAAAATATGTTTTATTCCCATAGCTGTTTTAATCTGAATCTGGCTTTAAAATATATTTATTTATTTAGGTACATAAGTTAGATATAGAATAGATATAATTAGACTAAGCCCATCAATGTGCAATAACATTTAATGGTTCTATTATGTGGCTTCATTTGTGATAAACGACACATTGAAATAATACAATTGATCATCAGTTAGTCATAAAAAAGACCACACACTTTATTACATTATTTAAAGGTTCAATATGAAAAACTATTGATAGTATATGATTGTAATAAAACCTATGTTTCGCATTTATATCATGTTTACATAAAAAATTTTCAGTATGATTTTAATTGACGAGTAAGTATTCTAGTTTTCTCAAATCTAAGATGATTTTTTATTTATACGGTAGCTGGTATTTGCGACTTGTTAAGTAACTTTATAAAAATGTTTTTTTTTTTTTTTTTTTTTAGATGACGATCAAGTCTGAAAAAAAAAAAAAACTGTGAATATTTCAATTAAATCTATTCAATATTTTTGCTGTCATATTTAAGAATTAAAACCTATCTTCATTTCATTAATGTTACACATTTTATTTAGTTACATACATGGTTTTAATAAGACAGTAGAAATCGTTAGAAATCTAAGGAAATCTTAAACATAAGATAAACATAAGACAAGATACAATTCTTAAACATACGAGACTTAACATCCTATTTTTTAGATGCATTTTGTAATGACTATAGAAAATAAATAATAACCACACTTTGTAACTTGTTTAAACATACAAGCCTTATTTTAGATGAAATAATACTTGTAACCTTTTTATTAACTGAACGTACTTCACTAAGGCGAAGTCAAGGGTAACATTGTTACATTAATATACCTGTATCTCGAGTGACGTCAAACAGTTTAGCCTGAAGATATCTATTAGGCGGAGTTCCTTTAGCTAGAAACAAGCTCCCCCTGTCGGCTGAAGTCAGTAAACAAACGTTCACGAGAATCTGAAAATAATTTTTTTGATACATTTCACATATAGAGCTATTTTGATCTATCAATAACTTTATTTGTGATAAGTTTAAGGATTTTTGATTCTATTTATCTTTCTTTTCGTCGGATTTGATATTTGCTTGTCAATTTTTACAATAATTCTAATATGATTTATAAATATTACAATATTTTGAAACTTTCATGAATAAAGTATAAATAAGTATCAGGATCGATCTCCCGATAGAGTTGCCTGAAGGGTAAGGAAACTTGCTTAAGAGTCCCAACAAACAGACTGCGACTATTAGGAAAGTTTTCTATGATTAAATAGTGGTTCATTTATTGATTTATGTGGGTGATGACTGTGATAACCGAAGGAGATTATGGCAATATTATTGTTTTCCTGGTTTATTAACGATATGTACAATGTATACTCTCAGTAGATTATATCGGCTGGCAGAGCAAAACCGATATTAAGTTTATAATTAAAACCTACGGTTGAACAATTTCAAATATAATAAATAGGATATATTGTATCAGATTGAAACACGTTTTATTTTCTTTATATATATATAATAATTTATATGTATTGTAATGTGGTTTAATGAGTTACTTTGAATTTATCTCCCCGACATACGGATTTCCTCAGCGTGTTTTCTTGCACTGATAAGCGCCTGAGAAGCATTAATAACCATCGTGGCTTACCCAAAATGATTTCCTGGGTATGTAGAAGTACCAAAATTAGCTATTATAATATTTAATCTGTTCACATCTTGATGAGATTTTTAAAAATCAAACCTGAGTATTATATAACGAATTGTAAAATAGTGCCGCGAGATTCATTTCAATTCTTTTATTCTTTTGTTACATTAGATTCAATACATAAAATATTTTGGTAATTAAACTTATAAAACATGAACATAAGAAGAAAGAGTCTTTTACATTATATAAAACACTTTAGAATAAGTGTAAGAACCTTCCAGAAATATAAAGTACATAAAATAAAGTACTATGAATGCGCAATAAATATTGGGATAGGAATACATTCAGAAAATAGATGTAGAATAGTTTGTCTTTGTGTGAAAGAAAAAACAATTTCATTTGAAAGGGTGTTGCTGTTACACGAAATTGTAATTTATATAGTCGGGCTGTGAATTGTTATATGTAAGGATTTTATACCAATTGTATTCTTTTAAACCTTTAATAAATATATATGAAAAAAATATTGAAATGGCTTACACTATTTGTTAATATTAATAAATATTACACTGTAAATAATTTATTAAAATTGATTAAAGGCCAAATATTATTGAATTTAATTTCATCGATATATCAACATTTCAATTTATTATTCTCATACAATATGAAGACTAAGTTTCATAGCACCATAACATATGTTATTCATTATTATTAAAAAATATTTAACAGAAAAAGTATAACATTTTATATTTAAAAATAATTTTCTTTTTGTCAATAACGTTTTTAACTTTAGCTGACAGAAAATCCTTATTTAACAGCTCTAGTTTAAGTACATATTATAATTTTCCATAATGCTGATATATTATAAAATCAATAGTAGGACGGTCAAGTTCGTAATTATTTAAATATGTTGAATAATTTATGAAAACGTACGTAACAGATTTGTTTTCGGTCGTGTTTTGAATATTTCGACTGATTTTCACTGCTTTGAAAATTTTATTTTAATAAAACAAAACTGTTACAGCGGTTTACGTCGGATTTCTTGCAACAAAATGTTTATTTCAGTACTTTTCAGAACAGCCAGCACAGTATTTCTGTACTACCATTATTACCCTACATAAAATTGGAAAATGACTATTGTGACAAGCTAAGCTGTAACCTTACTTTTGTTTCGGTTCTTTTATAGCAAACGTAGATTAGACGTCGATTAGATCACGTCATAAAATATCAATTCTACAAAGTAATACATAAAAAAATATATATGTTTTAACTCAAATGTATATGATCTGTTTTGCTGAATTAATTTATCTTATTTTATTAATACTTTTCAGACATCGAATAACGCTTGGGCAGGAAAAAATGGGGACTGAGAAGTTAATTTATGTAAATTGTAACCCTAACAGATGTGTAGTGGTTGCTTGCCCCTGTATTCAATGCAGAATTGAAATAGGGACAAATATGGGCATTTTTATGTTTCAGTTCTTATATATTTTAGTTACTAACAACTGGAATAGCCCAATACATAGCACGATATACAAGAATGTAAAGCAATGATTTCAGCTACACATTCAATGTTCACTTGAATGAGAACGTTAGAACTCAAATTACAATAAAAACAATGCATCAAAATTAAATAAAAACTCTAAAGGTTCGAGGTTTCTTGGTTATAATCTAAGAAAAGATTAAAAAAAGGGTGTTCGCTATACAACGTTAACATTATTGTAATTTCCCTGAAGACATTTCAAACTTACTTCCAAGGTAATGTTGAAACGTTCTTTAGTCTCTTGAAAAAAAATCTGTCGCCAATTAAGAAGACTTGCACAAGGACGTTTGAGAAACAATGAGCAAGAGTATTCTACATGAAATTATCTGATATTAAACTGGTTCTATTCAAAAACCACTTTTATATTTGTATTTAACGTAAATAAGATATCTTTTCAAATTCTCATCTTATTAACAATATAAAATTAACTGTAGTGTCCATATAACTATTTATTTATCAAATAGTTACATAATACATGTAAAATGAGGTACATATCCCACAATATATAAAAGATTAGTGGATATTAGATTGACGTATCAACAATAACCCACGCGTATACATTTTATGCAAATAAATTTCCATAAATCCGATAGCTTATTTTCCGATCACAAAATTCAAATAGCATTGGAAATCCACGCAATCTATGGAATAATGCAAGCGTGATATCAGTATAACGACTAAAATCAACCTATTATTATTAGACTTATGTAATAAAAATATTATTATATTTTTTCAACAATATAAATTTTACTCTCTTATTAGTTGATAGTTCATAAATGTACTGATTTGAAGACTAATTGTTTTTGATCATGGGTAACTTTTTATTTTTGATGATATTTTATAAATTTTCAATTAACTATAGGTAATTAATACATACAAGGTTTTATGATTATTAACTGAAAATTTTCCTTTTAAAGTCGCATTACCTCAGGTTAAAGTCAATTCACTCGTTCCTTGATTTGTATATTTATAATTACTATTGCTAATACATATTTTAAGTATTTTATAATTTTATTTACCTTATGACATAGTACATCTATGTCCAACTCATTAGCGACGTCTTTGATAAGGTCCATAAAGAGATCTGCCTCATCTAATTGTCTCTGCGCTGAATTGCTTGGCGATCGAGACCTCTGTAACAAAAAAAACAATCAACAACTTTACACTTCTTACTTTAAATACTACTAAAGTAATTAGTCTCGACTAGTATCTTGGTAATAGTCTTAATTGACGATTTTTAAGAAAAGGTAGTGAGAAAATTCTATTAAATAAAATATATTTTAACAAGAGAATATAATAATATTTCATTTCAAACGTCTTCATGAAGGGGACGGGTACAGCAAATTAAATCAAAATTCAACCCAAAGAAAGGCTTATAACTAATTTAAGACTACCTTCATTAAGTTATTCCAGGAAAGTTGATAAGAACTGAAAAAATGCTTGGAGCAATTAAGTAAATCTTAATAAATTTTCTTTCATGCGTCATTTAAATAACCTTTTCATGAAACAATGGTTATTTGAAACAGAAATAAGTTTTATGATTTCTAAATTTATTTTACGTAATACTCCTTTAATTAAAAAAACACTTTTTATTAATGAATACTGTTTTGAACACCAGATAAATTTCTCTGAGGTTATTTAATTATGTCTGAATGTGATGTTCGCTGTTAATATAATTTAGAGAGAGCTAAAACTTCGGAACCCTCTCAGTATACCAACTTACCAAACTTAATAAACTCACAAACGTTCGTTACGTTCATAAAATATCTAATACAGTAACATGATATTTAAGGAACAGATATTATAATTATATTAGTTATTCATATTATCTTTTACCACGTAACATTTATTTATAAATAACTTCTTTATACAAATGATTTATATAAATAAATTTTGCGTTCTCCAACGACCTGTTGACATGAATTACCCACGTACGGATGATTTTTTACGCCAACGCCGTATTTGCTTTGTAAATTAGATTTAACCTCACAACCGTAATTTTTATTTTACTGGATGTCTTAAGTTATTATTTTAATAAACATATTGACTTTTCTATGAGAATCTTGAAAGATGTGACTCAAATATATAATAGCTTAAGACAAAGTATGAGTTTTTAATTACACTTGAGTACATTATTTTCTATCTGGTTCTAAGTTACATTCAATATTCATTATCACATCGGTCTAGGAATTTTCTCCATTCAACAATTGAATTGATAACAATTGAAAATATTTAACCTCTTAGTTTAACCAAAAATGTTTTAAAAATTTAAGTAACTACGATGCCACAGATACTACGCTAAAACAAACACTTAGACAAACATAATTATTAAAGAGCACACCGCATTGTTAGTTTAAATAACTACTCGTAATTAAAATACACAAATACCCTGAAACACTTGCATGAATAATTGGGACCATAAATGAAACACGACCAATCGGTGTTACCCGAACCGAGTTCTGGCAAATTACTGTCATATTACCCCTACTCTAGGTCGGTTGTAATGCAACATGCGATGGATGAATGAAAAATCTTGAGACAATAGTGTATTGAACGATTGCTCTGTCGTGTTAACACACATAAATTTATAGCAAAAATTAATAGCGTATAGGTTACTGAGGATAATGTACTTGCGAAATGTATATAATAATATGTAAAATAAGATAAAAACAAGTTTAAATAGAGGGATTAACAAGGGTTTATATGTAGCTTTATATGTAGCTGTGTGAATAAAAAAAAATTCCGTTAATTTTTAATAATACGAGCACTTTGTATAATTCTATAGAAATGAAAATAATATGTTACGAAGGATGCGAAGTAATTATAATGTGTAACAAAATTTAGTAATTTGGGTTAAATTTCTGATGTCACTAAAATTACCGCATGGCGGTTGAGCAAAATAGTAATTAAGGAGGATGATTGTTTATTTTAATGTATGATTTATAACTCACGAAATATGACAAAACTCAGAAATGGTTTAACTTCGACATTTAGTGCATTATGAAAATAGAATTGCGTTCGGCATTATGATTTAGCCTTAATACCAGTTTTCTTCGTAACCATAATACCAACAGATACATATAAAACTAAAAAAGACTTGTGTTAAAGGCTTATATTTTATTGTTTAAGGAGAGTGTGGAAACATTCAGAAGCATAAAAGGACTTAGATTAGTTATCCTTACATATGAATAGTTACAGAACGTAAACGTATCTATATATAACAGTACTCTTTAAATGCTTGACCTTTAGCACACACATGTATATATATTCCATAATATTTAATATCATCTCTTTCGTAAAAATTTTTGATACTTGAAGTCTTTGAGCAAATTTCAACTTAACGAAATAGGATTAATCACCACGCTTGCTCATGACGGGTTGGAGATTTAAAACTTATTATTGTGAAACTATAAGTCCAAGTTTCCTCACGATGTTTTCCTTCACCGTCTATCAGTGGTGTCTAGATACTACTAGAAAGTACTTATATGATTCGGAAAAATCACATTGGTTCTTGCCAGGATCAATCCTGTGCCCTCGTACACGAGAGACGGGCTTTTATTTTTTAACGAATAGGCCACCACTGACGTATATATAATAATATATATATATATATATTATTATTCATATTATTTGAACTATATTAGTACATCTCAAAGTCCATTGAGATATAATATTTACAGAAAAACAAAATAAACTTCTTTATTTCCAGTATCGGCAGGAAAAATAGAATTCCCAACCGCAAAGCCGTAATATAATAAATTGATGAATTCTATAATTATTGAGCTCAATATTTGAGCCCATAAGCCCAGTTTTATAGGTGACTGGCTTTAGAGCTTCGTGATTTACTGTATCGTATCTAGGAGTTTGAAACATAAATATTGACATAATAGAGCATAATCAGTGATATACAAGTAAATTAATATTAAAGTTGTGTAACTTTCTGTTTATTTCTTGATTATTACTTTCCACTAAGAGCAAAGATAAAGAGGAGTTATGAGATCTAAATTTTCGCAAGTATTCATTTAAATGAAACTAATATTTTTCTGATGTGCTACGTGATTTTATTTTTAATAAAAACTATATAATACCGACGACGTTTCGGTTACTTTACAGCAACCGTGATCACGGGCTGACGAGATGTCATCGGGAGTATGTAGTTTTTATCAAAAATACAATTGCGTAGTACATCCGAAAAATATAAGTTTCATTTAAATAAAAAGGAGATGTAGAAATTCACTGTTTTATCTCAGCATGTAGGTACGTTTTAATATAATATATGCCTCTTTTTTCATAACAAGCATCTTTACAAATTATATGAATTATAAGAATATGTAAAAAAGTTAAAAGAAATGGCAACAGTTAAACCATATTTGAACTTTAAGTAATCCACATTAACACTTCACTTCGTTTTGTTAAAGCATAGATAGTTTTTTTCTTATCACTGTAGTTATGTTATATCTACATTTTATCTTCTCTCTACTCCAAATGTACCGATTCTCATGAAACTTTGACTATATACCAGAAGGATAACAAAGTAAAAATGTTAATTAGCAAAAAAAAAAAAATTCTTATATAATAAATAATCGATCTAATTCAAAAGTTATTTGAAGCCATGCTTTTATCTAATTATGAAATATATGTTGTTGAACGAAAAATTAAAATATTCTTATACAACTTTCTTGTATTAATTCAAGGTATGCAGAAAATAGTCAAGAACATTAATTTTTGAAGAAATATTTAGATGTTTTTTTTTAAGAGAAGTGTGAAATTATATCTGCCTTGAAATTGGGTTTTTGAAAAAAAAAAAGTATTGATTTTTTTTATGTATTTTAAAACTTTATTATTAATTATATTGGATTTTTAATGCAAAAAACTTGAAATATATTTTTTAAATTAATTATAAACAATTAAAAATTGATAAAATTCAAAAATATATCACGTGACTGTAAACGCGCCATGATTGGTCAGCATACTTGTGACGTCATAATGTTAAAGCAATTTCATAATAGTACAGTGTTTATGGCTATTATCTTTAACTTGATAAAAATATCTCAAATTTATTAGTGAAAAACGATTTGAAAAGTTTATTTCGACTATGTGTGATAAAGGATTTATAAAAGCAAAATCGGATAATATTCCTGATGTTAATATATTTTTATGATAACTAATTTTTTAAAAAGTGCGGTTTAATTTTGCTGAAGTTCGAGGTGCTAAGACATCAAGGTAAGTCTGTCAAAAAATACTATTCTAAATGAAAATTAGTATTTATTCTCTATTAAATATAATTAATAATTATTTCATTAAATCATTATTAATAAAATGTTATTATAACATTATAAAAAAACCAAAATAACATATATGTACTTTAAAAATTTAAATGTAGTCTGATACAGAACCTAGAATGTTATAAAATTATGAAAATATCTATTAATTGAAGTCCAATTATTAGACAAACATATATATAGATTTACTATTTAATCGCTTTGAATTATCAATTAAAATTTTTTAATGCTACGATTCTAAAGGTTATGATTTGGAGCCCAGGTAAAAAAATTAATTATTGAACTATACTTATTCGATTTATACACTTAGATAAATAATAATTAATAACAATACTATTATGAAAACTTACAACGAAATGATCTTCACAACAAAAAAAAATGATTTTGTTTTTGAATAATCTCGATGCACTGCTTGAAACCATTTCTTTCGACGTTTTTCGTCTTGTGGAACATTTAAAAACATTTTTTCAGGAGTTGTTTTTGTAGTCTTTGTACATAATGGTACAAAACTTTTGATTATTTAACAATGCCAACAGAATTTACTAGATAAAAACTCAAAACACTGTACTAATTATTATATCTCTGTATGCTACAATGAGCAAAAACTAACATTGTGACGTCACACGCGCTCGGGTTTATTCACGAGCTGTCGGCTTGTCTTCGGTACTGAATTTAAAATTTAATTTTTATTTTGAAATAACTTTTTAAATATTGCAAAAAAAAATAAAATAAAAATAGTTTTGTTATTAAACTTATATATGATCTTTCCATTTATCACAAAAAAAAAAAAAAATTCAAAAACCCAATTGTTTTAAAAAGAAAAAGCATGGACAAGATTTCTCATACCAAGT